CCCAACCCCCAACCCCCAGCAAGCCAGGTAAGCTACATTTGGGCTATAAGATGCACCCCTGTTTTTCTCCCAAATTTGGGGGGAGTGCGTCTTATAATCTGAAAAATACAGTGAGTTGTTAGTCAGTGTGGCAACTTGAGCTCCGTGTGAAGCTTCAGAGTTGACTGAGAGGTGACGCAACATCATCGTGTTCCTGGCAGGCTGCTTTCGGTACTGGTTTCCGGTACTTGTAGACGTCACTCGAGCATCCCCGTGTTCGTGCAGTAGGCGCTTCCTCGCTGTGTTGGAAGCTCTGCTGAACCCTGGAGAAAAGCGGCACCAGTAGGCAGCCCGGGCCCGTGGAGTCGACACAGAGAGAGATGGTCCTGCCGGCATGCACGTGAGCAGTGCGCTCCGTGAGAGGGAGCCCGTCCGGCTGGTCGCCTCATGCCTGCAGGTGCCCATGCAGGCGGCACTCCACAGTGGTCATAATTGAGACTGGGGGGGGTCAGGACACAGGCAGCTCCTTGCCATGCATCTCTGGCGGCTTTTGCAGCACAAGGACAGAACGGAGTAGTACGACAGAGAACATGTGGCCCACAGAGCCTAAAGTATTTACTGTCCGGACCTTTACTGAAAGTGTTTCCGCCTCCTGGTCTCAGTGAGTTGACAGGGGATGAAGACTGCTGTGGGATGAGCGTGTCTGTGGGGCGGGCCCCAGCTGGGGGTGAGAGCTGCTGGAACGAAATGGCCACTGAGTTGAGAAAGGGGAAGGGGTGGACACTGAGTCCGGCTAGCAGACAGGTTCTTCTAACTCGTGCGGTCACTGGGGTAGGGGTGGGGCGGGTGTAGGCACAGGCGGGGGTGTGGCTCGGGGGTGTCAGGTGGAAGGGTTCTGGCGGCACGGCGTCAGGGCGTCCTGCCATCTGTTCTCCTGGACACGGGGGGCGGGGGGTGGAGAGGTGCCTTTTCTCCCTGAGCCCTTTCTGCAAACCCGGGCAGGGCCGTGTGGTGGGGGCCAGGCTGTTGTCCTCCGGCTGCCGTGGGCACGCTCTGACGCTGCAGGCCCGAGACACCTTGCTGGGATGGCTGGTTTTTACCCTAATGACTTCTGTTCTTGAAATGTGGGGTTTTTTAAAATGTGTGGGAACGAAAAGGCCCTTTTTCTTAGAGGGTTATCTCCTTAATACCAAGGTGGGCCTTTGGCCCCTGACCCTCTGTTGCTCTTAAAAAGCTCTAAGGGCAAAGGCTGTCTGCGAAAGTGCAGAGCCCCAGGGTTTGTCAGCGCACCACCGCCACCTTGAGTCCCCACCCGCCCTCCACAGGGCCGGGCGCTGCATGAGTTACGTGTCCTGCCTTAGACTCCAGCTGCCTGGGGAGGAGTTTCTGCATCTCATTTTCTCATATGGTGCGCGGGGCAGGACTCAGCGTGTCGTTACCTCTTAATGACGTAGCTCTGCTGCCTTTGACTCTGTTCATCTTCAGCAGAACGGAAAAGTTTGACTATAGAAACACCCAAAAGGGTGCTCAGCATCACACGGATTGTTGAGGAGCTGCCAATCAAAGTGACAGTGGTGACACGCCTCTTCCCACCCGGAGGGTGCCTGGCACCCACAAGGCAGACCACAGCGGGTGCCAGCGCGGCGCTGGGAGGGCGGGGCCCTGGTGGTTGCCAGCCACGGTGCTTACAGTGGTGCGGAGGTGGCTGCAAACCACATGTTAGTCCCTCACACACCAGTCTGGGTCTGCACATTTCGAGCCACATCACATAACATTCAGCAAGAAAAGGTCATTTATAAAGCAGTTCCACTTCTGTGTATGGACCCACAAGAATTGAAAGCAGGGACCAAAATAGACATTTGTATACTCATATTCGTAACAGCATTGTCCACAGTAGCCAGATGGTCTGTGGGCAGGTAAATGCATAAATAGCTGGTCTCTGCTCACAGTGGAGTGCTACTCCGCCTTGAAGAGTAAGGGAATTCTGACACGTGCTAGAACGTGGATGCACCTTGACGATATTATGCTAAGTGAGACAAGTCACAAAAGGACAAATATTGTACGATCCCATTCACAGAAAACACCTGGAATAGTCAGGGTCATGGAGAAAGGGGGTGGAGTGCAGCAGTGGCCACCAGAGTCTAGGGCACGGGGAGCGGGGTCACTGCTTCGTGAGTGGAGGGTCTCGGTGCAGGGTGGCAGGCAGAGGCGCCGGCTGTGCCACGCACGCGTGCCGAGCCTGGGTTCTTCTGCCTCTCCGGGAAGCGCTGTCTGGTCGCCGAGTATGTGGCGAGCACAATGGATGTAAAACCAAAAAGATACCATCCATCCCCTTAAGAAACTCACCTTCAGAAATTAGACTCCTAATTCAGTGATCAGATTGTTATTTTAATCACACTGAACCTCTTTGCTCTTGTAAAGTTTTCGCATTTTTCTAGCAATAAAAATGTGTTCTTTTAATTACATTCTTATTATTTAAGAACATTGGCTGCTTACCTTGGGTGCGTTTGGGGATTCCGTCTGTCACCTCATTTGATATCACACCTAAGCACTTTATTTTTATTCTAAAATGTCATTTACCTTTTTTAATCCTCACCCAAGGATATTGTTATTGACTTTAAATAGAGAGAGAGAAATAAATATCCATCTGTTGTGTCTCTTAAACTCCCTGAGCCAGGATTGAACCCGTGGTCTTTTGGTGATGCTCCAGCCAACTGAGCTACCCAGCTAGGGCATATTTAAACATTTTTCAAAATGTTTCTGGAGTAGAAGAAAGTACACAGAAAGTCAAACTATTCACCATACAAATTTGCCATAGTATTTTGTCATATATCCTTCGGATCTCTGTTTTGGAAATGTTATATTCAAATTCCATTCTTTAAATGGAATTTCCATTCCATTCTTTAAATGGAATTTCTCAATTCCATTCTTTAAAAAGTTTTGCTTTTTGTAATTCAGTTTTTAATCCCTCTGGGATTTATTTTCATGTATGCTTTGGGGTGAGGATCTACTTTCATTTCTGCCACACGCTGGCCCATTTTCCATAGCACTTACTAGCTAGTCCGTCCTTCTCCCTAGTTTGTGATGAATGCTGTCCGGATTTCTCGGGATAGAAGCAGCTTTTTCAAACCTGACCTGTACCCAGAGTGAGTCCCTCGAATTGGGGCTGGGCAGTCGTCAGAAGTGTTTGACAGAAACCCTCAAAGTAGACCATCAACAAAGAGCTGACCCTTCCTTCTACAGTGTGGCCTATAGGGAACGGGAAAGCATTCGAAAGGCAATTGGTGCTGGAAAGGAACGCCCGGGACTCCGGGCGGCAACCTCCGGCCCAGGCCACAGCGGGTTGCAGTGAGCGCTGGCCCGCCTCCTGTGCACCGTCCCTGGGAGAGTGAGCGGAGGTGGGTGTCCTGATAACAGGGGATGGTCTGTTTTTTAAGTCAGACTTATTTTCTGTGTTAAATGACAAGTGTGTCGTGTGTCTCTTTAATTTAGTTATTATTCTAAGCTACCTTTTACAGTGTATACAAAACCAGTAGGGGAAATTGTCTTAAACTGGGATTGCAGAACCAGCCCCTAATACTTGACAATAAAAAACTTAGTTGTGTTACAGTAACTTACATGCTGAAAGTTCTCTGTTGCCCGTCTCCCTTTCCCTTTGTGGTGTTCACCTGGAGTGGCTTGCCTCCTTCAGAGCGTAGTTCCAACTCATCACACCCTTTCAAACCAGGCAGAGAGAGAGAGAGAGAGAGAGAGAGAGAGAAAGAGTGTGTGTGTGTGTGTGTGTGTGTGTGTGTGTGTGTGTGTAAGGGTGAAGCTAGCTTTGTATCGTCTTTCTAGTGATGCTGATATTCTTTACACACTGCCTTTTTTTTTTTTTTTTAGCTCTATCAAACTTTAAAAGAGACTCTTTTGGGAACCAATTTACTGTCCACAAGTAAGATTTTTCTTATTAAAATAAATTTGAATACAACATCATGATGAAAGGTTCCAAAAGAAAAGAAATATTTTATTGTAGTTTTCTGCATATCATACTAAAAAGAAACTCTGTTAAGGATTTCTAAATTGTGTGAATTTATTATATGTGCAAGTTAATTTTTTCATATTACTTTGTTTTTGAGTGATACATCGAATAAAGTCTGCTGGAAAACTAATTGGAATATAATTTTTACTCAAGGAATACTCAAGTCGTTAGGAAGTCAGAGGAGGTAGAATACAGGCACCAAATACTGGATTCTTGAAAAGGATCGTAAGAGTGAAATGATAGAAATTCTGTAGGAAGAGGTCATGTGAAGAACAGACTGGTTTAAGGACTAGAAGGCAATTGTGGGAGTCCGCGGAGGTCCAGAAAGATACCAGCTGTGGGCAGAGAATGTTTTTATTAATGCACAGGAACCAGTGATAAATCATGAAGTAGCATAAATATAAGTAGACATTTCTAACCCATAGTACACGTCATAGAGCATAAGACAGCATTTTGTCCTGTGTTTTCTCCCTCCCTGCTCTGCACCCCATGCCCCAAGTGCTGTTCCAGCACGTGATTCTGCAGTTCGTTTACAACTCTTCTCCACCAACCAGCTTTCGCCCCCGTGTGACACCGTGACTCCAGTTCGAGGTCTTCAGGAGCACGTAGAGAGAGGGGCAGACTTGCACCGGTGTCTCCCGGAGTCTCCCGGAGCCAGGACGTCTGGCTGTGGCACAGCCGCACCTGGTCCCCCAGCTGCCCCAGGACACGAAGCAGCTTCCTTCCCGGAGGGTGCTTCAGAGGCTCGTGTGCCCCAGAGTCCTCTCAAGAGGATAACGTGTGGTGTGGCAGGAATCAATGTAATTGTAGCCACATTAACTCTTCTTTTAATGGGAGCTATTAAGAAGACAAACGACTTTTTTCTTTAAGTCATTTTTTTAGCCTTTGTCATTCAGAACTGAAAACTGGAAATAGCGAGCTTCCTCCAAAGACTAGCTAAAGTTGATTCTTTGACACTTGGGAGGAAGATCTAATTCTGAATTTGTTTCATCTTTTTCAGATCTCAGTCACAGTGGATTGGCAGATCATTATGAGAGCTCCCACTGGGGACAGCAGCCCACTTTCAGAAGTGAAGCCAGCGGTAGCTGGGATAAAGTGATAATAGACAGGACTGATAAGGAGGCGTGGCCTTCCATCACAGGGGCGGAGACGGAGTCTGCCTCAGAATGTGCTACAGACACTGACTCCGCCTCCAACTGCGGCTCGGAGAGCAGTAGCATGGCTACGGGGAGTGCCCAGGGCAGCTTCACTGGACATACCAAGAAGACCAATGGCAATAACGGCACCAGCGGCGCACTCATCCAAAGCCCTCCAAACCCAGGCGCCCTTGGAGTGGGGGGAGCCAACGGCAACGGCAATGCGGCCAGAGCTTGGGGCATAACTGCAGGCTCCAGCTCCGGCCTCGCTCACTGCTCTCTGGGTGGCGGGGACGGGAAAATGGACAACATGATTGGAGATGGGAGAAGTCAGAACTGCTGGGGCGCTTCCAACTCCAACGCTGGCGTTAATCTCAACCTTAACCCGAGCGCCAACCCGGCTGCCTGGCCGGTGCTCGGACATGAAGGAACTGTGGCGACAGGCAGCCCTGCCAGTATTTGCAGTCCAGTCAGTGCCATAGGACACAATATGGGCAACCAGAACGGGAACCCAACAGGCACTTTAGGTGCTTGGGGGAGCTTGCTGCCGCAGGAGAGCACAGAACCACAGACGTCCACTTCTCAGAATGTGTCTTTCAGCGCACAACCTCAGAACCTTAACACTGATGGACCAAATAACACTAACCCCGTGAACTCTTCACCAAACCCTATCAATGCAATGCAGACAAATGGGCTGCCCAACTGGGGCATGGCTGTCGGCGTGGGGGCCGTCGTCCCGCCCCACCTGCAAGGCCTTCCTGGTGCTAATGGATCGTCAGTCTCTCAAGTCAGTGGGGGTGGTGGCGAAGGGGTCAGCAGTTCTGTGTGGGGACTGTCCCCCAGTAACCCTGCCGCAGGAAGTAGTGGCTCTGGGCTCAGTCAAGGGAGTGGGGACACTGTGAACTCAGCACTGAGTGCTGAGCAAAATGGGTCTAGCAGTGCTGTGCAGAAGGGAGGGGGCGGAGGGGCTGCCTGGGACTCAGGGCCTCCTGCTGGCCCTGGGGTCCTCGCCTGGGGGAGGGGCCGCGGCAACAACGGTGTTGGGAATATCCACTCTGGCGCATGGGGCCACCCCAGCAGAAGCACTGCTAATGGCATGAGTGGGGAGTGGGGGAAGCCCTCGAACCAGCATTCCAGTGGTGACGTCGGTGGGAAAGGATCGACAGGGTGGGACAGTCCTGGTGTCAGCGGCCAGAGCCCTGCCGTGCAGCCTGGCAGCGACCACCTGAGCTCATGGGCCAAAGCCGCCTCTTCCGGAACCACGGCGAGTGAAGGCAGCAGCGAGGGCTCTGGCGGTCACTGTGAAGGAGGGGCCGGGAGGGAAGGGGCTGAGGGCCGGAGGCGCGAGAAGGGGATTCTAGACCAAGGGCACATCCCGTTGCCAAGGAATGATCTTGACCCGCGAGTCCTGTCTAATACTGGTTGGGGACAGACTCCAGTAAAGCAAAACACTGCCTGGGAATTTGAAGAGTCCCCGAGGTCTGAGCGAAAAAATGACAATGGGACAGAGGCCTGGGGCTGTGCGGCTCCTCAGCCTTCACACTCAGGGGGGAAGAGCGATGGGTCCATCATGAACAGTACAAATACCTCTTCAGTGTCTGGGTGGGCCAGCTCCCCACCTGCTGCTGGGCCGGCAGACGCAGGCTGGGGGGACAACAGTGGCAGAGCACCAAACGGCCCCGGGGTTTGGGGGGACTCGGTAAGCTCCACTGCTGTTCCTAATGCTGCTGCTGCCAAGAGTGGCCACACTTGGAGTGGGACCGTAAGTCAGGAGGACAAGTCACCCACCTGGGGTGAGCCTCAAAAGCCCAAATCTCAAAACTGGGGAGACGGACAAAAATCGAATCCAGCCTGGAGCACAGGAGGGGGGGACTGGGCAGATACGTCTGCTGTCCTCGGACACTTGGGGGAAGGGAAGAAAAACAGCTCTGGGTGGGACGCCGATGGTGGGCGGTCGGCGTCTGGCTGGAGTGAATCTGCACGGGCTGGGACCAGCGGCTGGGGCAGTGGCACCGGTGCCAAGGCAAATCCAGGGGCAAACTGGGGAGAGTCTTTGAAACCCGGCCCCCAGCAGAACTGGGTGAGCAAACCCCCAGACAGCAGCGTGAGTAACTGGGGTGGAGCTGCTTCCGTCAAACAGACAGGAACGGGGTGGATCGGGGGGCCGGTCCCCGTCAAACCGAAGGACAGCAGTGAGGCCACGGGCTGGGAAGAGCCTTCTCCGCCATCCATTCGACGCAAGATGGAGATTGATGACGGAACTTCAGCCTGGGGCGACCCGAGCAGCTACAACAACAAAGCCGTGAACATGTGGGACAGAAACAACCCGGGCCTCCAGAGCAGCACCTCGGCCGCCGCCGCCACAGGCAACAGCGCGAACGCAGTGGAGCCGCCACAGCCGCCACCCCCGGCCAGCGCCCCGCTGAGCAGGGCACCGCTGCTGGGTCCAGGTACGGGAGGGGCTTCGTGTTCTGTGAGAGTGCAGACGCGTTTGTTCTCACTAGCCCTGCGTGTCTCCAACCAACATGTCGTCTCGAGTGACACTCGAGTGCCCGTCACCTTGTAGTGCTGCATTTCAGCACTGTCTAGAGACAGGGAATCGAGCAGGACTCTGGCGGCTCTGTCCACGCGGAGCGCGAGTCCTGAGCACTTTCACAGGGAGGGGAGGGGAGTGGAAACGCACCCTCTTCGGAAAAGATGGGGCCCTTGGGGGGGGTCTGTGTTTACGTGCGAAGTCTTCGTTTCTCTCTGACGTGAACCGGTGACCCTCAGCCCAGGCCTGGCTAGAGTTCCCTGGGGGTCCGGGGCCGTGTCCAGGGTCTGCTGGGAAGCCCACCCACAGGCAGTTTTGAAAGGTCCACGGAGCTCTGATGTGTCGTCAGCTCTGAATGAAACTGGCCTTGTAGTGTTGAGCAGTTTTGCACAGTACGAGGCGAGCTTTGATTTCAGTTGAAAGAAAACCCTTAAAAATCCAACTAAAACTTGTGGTTTCAGTTCTGCTTTGTGTGAGGCATTCTGCTAGATACTGTGGCAGAGGAGACAGGAGATGTAGGCAGAGCCAGCCCGCAGGGAGCAGGAACGGTGACAGAGAAGGAGCATGGCTCCCAGGGCGGGAGGGAGTGGGAGCAGGGTGCAGCCCTCCTCTCCTAGACACACCCCCACCACAGGCACGGAAGCCTTTGCCCACCAGGCCCACGTGCTCCGCCCCAGCACTGCTTTCCTGGCCGCTCCAACTGTCCTGTCTTGGGACTGCGTCTCCCCGGCCCCTCCAGGGTCTGGAGCTGCTTGTCAAGTGCTGGGACAGTGCAAAGCTGGGCTTGCTTGCTCTCTGGTCTCCCACTGCAGAACCTCAGTACCTGCGCATGGCTCTCGTGTCTGTCTCCCCATCCTCTAGGACGTGCTCCCTCGCCCACCACAGTCCCTCAGGCTTGGCTTTGGTCTTTTTGTTGTCGTCTGGGCCAGGGCTGGGCAACGGCTGCAAGTGCGGTCCCACCAGCGCAGCGACGGGAAAGGCTGCAACCTGCCTACCCCGAAACCACGCTCTGCGGAAGGCAGTCTGAGCTCTGGCCGTTTTGAGACGTGTTGTGCTGTTTTTCTTAAGTCGAGCTGATAACTCGAAGCTTGTGTGTTAAGGCTGCTGTGAAGCCCTTCCTCCCTTAGGGCTGCTCTAGGGCAGGCGGGCTCTTGGTCTCAGGTGTAGAACTTTATTTCTGGGAAAGTGCTAGACCCCAGCCGCAGCCTGTTGAGATCTTGAACCCTGGTTCTGTAATCGGCATATTCGTTCTTCCTGGCAGTTTTATGCCATCCCCACATTCTGTAAACATGCCAACCCTGCAAGACCGAGAACAGGGTCCTTTCTCCATGGCCGTGCACCCAGTCTCTTACACACGGAGCCAAATTTGCCTCCCAGAATCCTCTCTGAGGCTCAAGACTGGTGAGCCCCGTGGGCACGCCACTGTCACTGAACCGGAGGTCAGACAGCGAGTGGTCCAGGGCGCCCCCGCTCCTATGCCTGCCTTCCTGTGAGTCAGTGTTTTCAAATGGAGATGTTCTGTATAAGTTCCAGATTTCCGGCTTCTTTTGGAAGCCTGGAAGGACCGATAGCTTGGCCTCCCAGGGCAGCCATTGACCAGAGCGACCCCCTAGACAGGTCCCGTGCCTTCCGGTTTGCCACCCCTCTCGGCCCAGCCCTGGGACTGTGAGCAGCTGCCGTAGCTCATGGAGCGTGTGCTAGTCCTACTGGAACCGGCTGGCTCTCCCAGGGTATTTGAATGTGTGATTCCTGGGGTTTCCCCTACACACACACTAATATATGACTGACATTTCTAGGCACTTAGGTTTTATAAAGCACTTGGGTGTGTGAGGGGCAGCAAGAAGGAGGAGAGGTAACCAACCGATGCTGGGAAAGGAAAGGACATTAACCTTAAGGCGGGTCTAGTTCAGTGGGCGAGGCCAGTGACACAGGAAAGGCAGGCAGAAGGTTCTCTGCGAAGAGTGAAGGGTCAAACACTGCTGTCGTCCTGCCCACCAAGACTTTCTCCGGGAACCCTTGTTCCCATGCTGTCTTTCCGAGGTCACTGCCCGGTTCCCCCCTTCTCCTGGCAAAGCTGCAGCTGCACAGCGTGCTCCTGTGCCTGGCATGGGCTCCTGGCAGTGAGCGTGGTGACCGCAGGTGGCTTGCTCGTGCACCCTGCCATGCGACGCCCATGCTACAGGGGGAAGCAGTCTCCTGAGGCCACACGTGGGGAGAAGGTGGTGGGGCTCCGCAGGTGGAGGCAGCCTTGCCTGCTGCCACTTCCAAATACTGGGTCCCCCCCTCCGCTCGAGCCAGAGCCACGCCACATGGGGACAGTTCCTTCTCCTTACTCTCTGTATGTCTCCCTTGAATCAGCTCTTGCACATGAGCTTTCCCCTGTGTGAAGGCCGTCCCGGTTTGTTGGAAGGGCCAAAGTCATTGTCTCCCATCTGCGGAATGTTCGTAGATCATATTTTAACAAATTGCACATCATCACCCAACGTAAGAGAGGGCAACATGGGTGACCCCCCACAGGCAGCACCAGTGTAGAAGCAGTCACCACAGGACAGACAGACAAAGCAGATGCTGGTCTCCAGGCAGTGTGCCCGTCCGCAGAGCCCATGTCACGTGCAGTGTGACGCACAGTGTGCAGCGGGGTTGCCTCGCCACGTTTTCATCGATGAAGTTGGCCTCTTCCACCGTGACCCCAAGGAGCTGCGCGAGCCATCGTTCCTGCACTCAAGGCTTGGGCTCTTCGGGCCTCAGCCCTGAGCCAGGCTCTCCTCTGCAAGGAGAGCAGCCACCTGCCACGCACAGCAGGCGGTCTGAGCACGGCCCTGCCCAGCCCCCCAGACTGAGCTCCCTGCAAGCCAGTGGGAGGGGCCACAGCAGGCTGGCTCCTGGGGTCCCCTCCTCCCGGTGGGGGGGGGGGGTCATGACAAGCGGGAGGCTCACACCAGTGGCGGGAGCAGCAGTCACAGCACCAGGCACTCTGCAGGGGAGCTGTGGCTTGAATATGTGCCCAGCCTGGACCCCGTGAACCGCCTGGGGTTCTCCGATCCAACAGCCGCTCGTACACACACCCGAGGACCGTCGGTGAGGCTTCTGCGGCTTCAGAGTTGGCCTTTCGTAAGCCCTCTGCTGCTTTGCTGTTTGCTGCCCTACTGAGTTTGCAAAATCATCACTTATCTCAGAGTTCAGGCTGTGGATCGTGGCCACTTTAGGGTGTTGATCTGTCTTATAAAACACGGATCCTCGACGACATGGTTTTGATGTGTCCAGTGTCATGGGAGAAAACAGTGCTGGATTGTCATTTTTGTCCAGCGCATGTCGTGTTGGCATTAGTGAGATTTCCGACCAGCCCCAGGGAGACCGGCCAGGAACTTAGGAAGCGCAGTGTGGCTCCACGTAGCCTTGTTTGGGTCTGGCTCAGACCGCTCCGGAGACGGGCACAGTGATTGCCGAGAGAAGTGTCCCTGTGCTCATCTCTGATCAGAGGCGTCGGCTGTCGTGGTGGGTGCGTGGGCCTGTCCCCGACCGGCCCAGCGCTGCCCGGTGACTTAGTGTGCATGTGAGCCAGACGTGGCGACCCACGGGAACAGAATAGTTTGGAAGGGGTTGGGGTTGGGGTGGAATCAGATACAGAGGCCACTGTGGACTTCATCCAGGCTGCCCCAGCCACAGGGTGGGCCGTGAAGTCTTGCCGGGGCTGCCTCTCCCAGCACTGGGTGGAGGTGAAATACCAGTGCTGCGCGCGAGTCAGGAAAGGGGAAGCGCACTGCTCGCGCTGATCTTATTCTAGAGTATTTCTTACCCACTTACTACCTGTTCTCGGCTGCTCGGGACGTCACATTGGTGACCACCAGGCATTTCACTGTACCTGTGACGGTCACTGGTGGTCTCGTGCTGCAGCTGGAGGGAACCTCCTTTGCGTCGGGCTCCTTAATCTAGTGACGTGCTGCTGCTCTGTCGCTTAGTGCCTGGCACAAACATGATAAGCGAAGGCAGTGATCATGTGAATTAGTCATGGAAGAGGCAGATCACCCACACCCTAAACCGAAATTTGGGAGTGCTGGCTGTTGTGGCTCATGGACTGAGCACCAGCCTGTGAACCAGGAGGTCGCCAGTTCGATTCCAGTCATGGCTCAAGCCTGGGTATCGGGGCCAGGTCCCTGGTGGGGGGCGGATGAGAGACGACGACACAGTTTCTCTCCCTCTTTCTCCCTTCTCTCTCTCTCTGAAAGTAAATAAATAAAGTTGTAAACACAACTAAATAAAACTTGGGAGAAATTAGAGTTAGGAATTCTCTGCCTTAGGGAGTGGTTTCCCTAGGTCTCGAAAGCAGAAGCTGGGGGACCTTGTCTTTCCTACAAGGAGCCCCGTCCTAGACGCTCCGCTGCTCCTGTGTCTTCCTCTGGTGTGAAAATGACACCGAAAACCAGCCTCACCTGCAGGTGGGTGAATCGGCAGGATGCTGTTGGAGTTCAGCCGCTCTCACCCCGCAGCTTCGGAAACAGATCCCGGTGGCCTGTCCAGCCAGAATAGTTCTATTTTAAGCACTATCAACAGTTACTAAAAAAAGGGGTGATCCGAGTGAGCGATCTGTGCTTTTTGTGGGTACGGGGCTTTTCTTGGGTTTGGTGCCGTCGGGCAGTTTTTATTTACCCTCCTGTGTTGTGGGGGGCTTGGTAGGTAGAGTTGGAGCAGGGACTAGGAGGTCCCACTAATGAGGTAGGAGGAGGTTGTCCTCCGCGCACGGCCTGGGCTGCGCACTCAGTTCAAACTGATGGACGAAGAAGACAGTTGAAAACAGCCCTGGCTGAGTGGCGCAGTGGATTGAGCACCAGCCCGGGAACCAAAGGGGAATGCCCAGTCAGGGCACACGCCTGGTTGTGGGCCGGGTCCCCAGTGGGGGTGCCTGAGAGGCAACCACACACTGACGTTTCTCTCCCTCTCTTTCTCCCTTCCCCTCTGCCTAAAAAATAAATTTAAAAAACATTTTTTAAAAAACAGTTTGACCCCCACCACAGACTTAACATACTCAGAAGCTGTATTATTGCACTAAGATAAAAGCTAAGTAGACTTTTTCTGTTTCTAATACCCACCTCTGTGATGACAGTGGGGCAGGCAGAGGTGCTCCTGTAAGAGGCTGCTGTGCCGCTCCAGGCCCTGTGGCCGGCTGTGAAAGAGACCCTCCTCTGAAACAGTCACCTGGGAATCCCCTGAATTGGGGGCAGAAATGTCAAATAAATGGCACGGGACAGGGCGTTCTGAAAAGCAGTGCCACCTGCCACCTACCTGAGCAGACTCCTGTAAAATGCTCCACTTTCCACCTGTCTGGACTTCCAATGTGAAAAGTTAAGTGTTGCTGCCACTGCCAGTCCTGCTCTGCTCCTCCGTAGGTCAGTAGCCAGCCAGGCGTTGCAGTGATAAGCACACTGCACGTAAAGGGCCTCGGTGTGAGCGTGTGAGTCAGTCCCTGAGGTGCTGAGCACATAGCACACACTCAGGTGCGTGTTCAGGTGCATTTGCAGTCCTTTATCCTTCCCTTAACTGAAATCGGCCACTCTTTAGCTGAGCCTTTCTTCCTGGAAAGGACTGCCTGCCGCACTTACAAAACTACATAGGTAGCATCCGTGGAACAAGCTAGAATTAATTTCTTATGTCACAGGAGAAAAAACGCCCCCTACCGACATAACTAGTGCCCGAGGTGAGAACCCTTAAGCCAGGCGAGGACTTTCCTGGACTCTGTTTCCTGGCCTTTTGCCTGCCCCTGTCCATCTTCACATCGGCCTCCCGGGTGTGCGCCGCTGAGGCACTGCCTTCTCTGTTCTGGGAGAGGTGGAAGGCCTGTGTTTACAGTCCAATGGAAACAGTGTGCCCTGGTGGCGTTTCATCATTGTCCTCTCACTCCCAACACTCTGCTCCGTGGAAGAGGGGAGGTGATGGTCCCAAACCCAGGAGTGAGCCCCACTGCGCAGAAGCAGTGTTTAGCCGACAGCAGTGGCACGAGGAGGGGCGGGAGGAGGTTTGCACTAGTGAGTGCGCGAAACACATTCCTTGTGCTACTGACTTGCCAGTTACTGTGTTGTTTTTATGTGAACAACTGTAAACTTACTTGCGCCCCACCTATATTGAAGGACCATTTTTAAAATTTTAATATCAGTGTTTTAAATCTAAGGTAGACATTTGTTCTGCTTCATTAAGTCCAATTTTTAAAAGACCTCTGTAAAATTATTAACACAAGAAGATACCAAAGTCACTCCTCCAATAAACACTGAGCAATGGAGAGTATATTGATTTTAGCAATACGTCTGTAAGATTATCTGCGGCCACTGAAGATACTTGCCTTTCATCAAAATCACCTAGTGGGCCTGCCTTTAGCATCTCTCCCAGGGCCTTCGGTACGTTCCGCGTGCGTGCGTCCTGACGTGCATCAGTCTGGCATTGTAGGTAAATTCTCTTCCTGCCAGAAATGAACTTAAAGTGGAAATACTGCAATTTTTAGCTTTTGAGCGAGTGATTATTCTTCCATTTATTTTTAAGGTTTTGAAACGTGCTTGCAAATCATTTGCCTCCTACATAAAAATATTCTGTAGACATTTCTACCACTTTAACATAAAGAATTAAAGACTCTTTGTAAAAACTATAACTTCCATAGTCTTAAATATTTACTCTTAGTTTGGATTTAGTTAAATAATTTATAGTATTGCCTTTCAAAGAGATGGAAGTACAAGGGTGATAAAGTTTAGGTGAATTCTTTAATTACCTAAATAAATCAATATTTTTACAACTGATGGGCTTTTAGTAACCCCTAAATTATCATTCCAAAACACCCATAATTTGAATGAGCTATGTTAATTTTTCTGATTTAATTTTGTCTCTTCAATTTGTAAATCTGCTTCTTCTGATACACATTATTATTTTCTGTGTGATTATAGGTAATAAATATTTAGTTGGCAGGTGTTGACAGTAACTGGTTAGGACTAACCTTCCTGCTGTTAGTAATAACTTACATGATATATTGCTCAGCATAGAGCTTGCAAATAAAACTGACCCAAGGCCCTGACCAGGTCACTCAGTTGCTTAGAGCATTGTCCCGATGTGCCAAGGTTACTGGTTCAGTCCCCAGTCAGGGCGCATACAAGAAGCAACCAGTGAATGCGTAGATAAGCAGAACAAATCAATCTCTCCCTCTGTCTCTCTCCTCCCCTCTCCCTTCCTCTCTCTCTAAAATCAATACATGAAAAAATGAAAATGACACAGGTTGCATGTCCTTTGGTCACTAATGAATATTATTGTATTTCATTAAAATAAAGCACATCAAGGGGACTGATTCTGAACTATTTTTAGTCAGAAAATTTGTGGAGGTTTTTTTTTTTTAAGTATTTTATTATTTATTTTTAGAGAGAGGAGAAGGGAAGGAGAAAGGAGAGAAGCATCAACGTGTGGTTGCCTGTCATGTGTCCCCTACTGGGGACCTGGCCTGCAACCCAGGCATGTGCCCTGACTAGGAATTGAACTGGCGACCTTTTGCTTCACAAGCCTGTGCTCAATCCACTGAGCTACACCAGCCAGGGCAGAAAATTTGTGTTTTCTAATTGAGAAAGTGATATCCATGTTACAACCAAATAATTTAAAATCTGCGGTTAACTATTTGCATTTTATGCCTTCTGTTCTTCATTCAGCTAGCATTTAAAACATTCATGTTTCTGTCTCTGAGAAACAGTATCAATCTGAAAATTAGAACTGACGTGAACTATGGTCATGGCCATCAGTAGTGTCAGGTGGGCGAGTGGGCAAAAGCAAAATGATCAGAGTGTGCGTTGCTTTGGGGGAATGAGGTTTACATATGTAACATAAGATACTTTCTTGCTGAAGTGTAGGGGACTGTATTGTGCACTGGTCCTGTGACATCTGTGCCTATAGATGGTAACGCCTGACCTTCTGGAATCATGAGCCACCCTGATCAGGTGCCAGTCCCAGATCAGCAAGCTCTGGTGACAGGACTGGGCAGAGGGAGAACGAAGAATTTCCGGAAAACCTTTGCAGTCCCCGTGTGCCTGCTGGGACCACCACCCAGCCCAGACCCAGACCCACTGGGTTCCCATCTGAAAGACAAAGGCTTCAGTTCTAACCCACCCCGTGGAACCGGGGGACTGTCTTTTGTACCCTCTGTCCCTCCTTTATCTGTCCCTGTTTGATCTGCCAGCTTCCCCTTTCTTTGCCTGCATCTAGGTCTTTGATGGTTGGTCAAAAAATAAGCAAGAGTAATTTCTCAATATATATTTACAACTTGTAAAATTTTCATTTAAGGAAATAATGTAACAAATATAACGATAATGTAATAATGTAACCTTTCCTTTAGGTTATTACCTGTAATACCAGAAGTAAACAAGCTACTTCTTAACCTTTAGTTTTAAACTGCGCTTTTAAATCCTATTATGATGCAAATACTGTGATTGTAATGGTCTTTAATGGAGTCAGGAGTGAGAAAATTGCAACTGGAAGAAGCTAAACAAATCTGATTAGATTTAGTGTGTCCTTTTTACTTTCTACCAAAAGCCCTACTAAAGGTAGATTATCTTAAATTGTTTTGGGTTTGAAATGGCTGTTTTCACTTTCTCTGTTTCACTTGTATTGCCGTCTTTCCCCGGCACCTTTTCAGCTTCGTCCGGCTGGGGAGAGATGCCCAGTGTTCATTCAAAGGCCGAAAACTCGTGGGGAGAGCCGTCCTCCCCTGCCGCCCTGGTCGATAACGGCACGGCAGCCTGGGGCAAGCCGCCCAGCAGCGGCAGCGGGTGGGGAGACCAGCCCGCGGAGCCTGCGGTGACGTTCGGCAGAGCCGGCGCACCAGCCCCGGCCCCAGCCCTGTGCAAACCAGGTAGGACAAGCATCCACTCTGCCGAATCTGGTGGTTTAGAGATGGGGCCGAACAGTTTATTCAGAGGGGTGCTTTCTGTTGAATTTTAAGAACGAAGTTTTAGGGCACTGTCCTCATTTTATTTACATTTAAAGTTAACCTTAAACTGAGGCAGTGAGGAAGTACTTGCTGTGTCTGAATCACAAGCAGGGAGCTTCACCAGAAGCCCAGCTTCCCTTTCGGAAAAGTAATTAAAAGGATCAGAGCGACACAGGGCATCTGCCCAACGCCGTCCACAGCCTCCACCCTTCTTCAGCACGGGCGCCCCGGCCGGTGTGTGAGCGCCGTGTCGCCAGGCACGGAGGCCCGGGCTCGAACACACGCCGCCCCGCCCAGCGGGCCGAGGCATCTTGCCTTTCTTTTGTCTTGGAAACAAGGTTCTGCTCTGGGTATTCCAAGTTCACGGTTTTTCCCTTTTCTTTTTTTTTTTAAGTGCTGCACTTTCCTCCCATTATCTGAAAGTGTAATAAGTGCACATATGAAGATGTGTTCTTACAAATGTTCAGAGCACATTTACCGGGGGAATCCTCCTGTGAGGTGCGGGTGAGTGACAGGGTGATCTTTTTCCCATCAGTGTGAGACGCTGATTGAAGCCTGAGGTTAGAAGCAGCTGTTCACTCGGCCGCAGCAGCCGCGCACTTTCTTCGGACCTTCTGTGTGTCTTAGCTCTGAACATGTGACCTGACTGGCTAGTGTTCTGGTCCTTGGCAACACTGGGCAGCGTGCTCCCCACCCACCATCTTGCTGGATTACTTCTTCCATTCTTGTTGCCCCTTGTTATGCATCTGAAGGAGACGTTGGCTTCTGGGTGCTGAGGGTCATGTGCCGTTTGGAGGCGGCAGCCTGTCCCGATTGGTCCTCAGAGGCCCGGCCATCTGTGGCCTCCTGCATCCGCGCTGACCGTGCTACCCCCATCTCTGGCCTGCTTCAAGTTCTCCCAGGAAGGGAGAACTTGAGTCAGATTTTACACCAAAAATCATTTTGTATTTTAAGAAAGGAGAAAAAATAATATCCTGAAATAAAAACTCAGTGTTCAGCTGCAACTCCACCTGCCTGAGGCTTCAGCTGTCCCCTCCGGTTACTCTGGGGCAGCTCCTGGGAGCTGGTCAGAAACAGGCCTCGGGATCCAGCCCAGACCTGCCCCGTCCCTCGTGGTCCCCAGGCAACGAGCACTGGTCAGCACAGCCGACCACTGCAGGCTCGGATCCAGCAGTGACGTTTTCGGGGCTCCGTGTGTTGCTGGCCATCGTGCCTCGTACAGATGGCCACTCTCTCCTGTGGCCCATGGTTCAGTGTGAGAATGTTCGGGCGTCCATGTGACCAATGGTCTGTTCCGGGGGTTTGGAACAGCACAGACTAGAAAGGGCTGGGTTCGAACAAAAAAGCCTGTCTATTTGGCTGTTAGGTCTGGGGCTCCCAAATGACACTGTCGCAAGCCTTGTCTGCTTCAGGAATGATGAATTTGACAAGTTCATGTTCGCTCTCTTTCTAGCTTCAAAATCTATGCAAGAAGCCTGGGGCAGTGGTGGGGACGACATGAGCCTCGGTCCCAGTCAGTGGGAAGACGAAGAAGGGGGAGTATGGAACAATGCTGCTTCCCAGGAAAGCGCCTCCTCCTGCAGCTCCTGGGGGAACGCCCCCAAAAAAGGACTCCAGAAGGTGTGCGCACTCTCGGGGGAGGCGGGCGACCCCCTCGGCCACACACTCGGCTTCACCCAGCTCCCTCAGTCAGCGGCGGAAGGTCGACCCAAGGTCCTGAGGACCCTTGGAGGTCCCCGAGCCCGTTGGGGGGGAGGTCTCCTAAGCGTAGGGCGGAGTGTTCTGGAGACCACCCGGGATCGCTCTCGCAGCAAAGCAGGCACGGAGACAGACGGGAGAATCCGGCTGCGCCTGGGGAGCCGGTGGGTCAGGACCCCTGGCCGTACGCACAGCAGCGCCTCGCTTCTCCCGCCTTCTAAATTTCTCAGTTTTCATTTCTAAGGCAGTATTGATAGACGTGACCCTCAGTTCCTTAGGCTCCGTCATTGCTAAGAGGCAGCAGTGGGGTCCTGAGCCCCCGAAGTCCGTGGGCTCCCAGGGTGGACTGTTTAGTCATCCTGAAATACACAGCCGCCCTCTGGGAAAGCTTAAGTACTACTATATGCACCACAAGAACCCCTAAGTAGATCACAAATTTAAATGTGAAAAATAAAAAGCTACAGTGCGAAAGTTTTTCAGGCGGTATTGCCGTGGGAGAGGCCTTTCGAACTTTGGTGAGAGCCCGAGAGCCATGAGTGAAAGACTGGTGAACGGTGGCAGGCAAAGGTAAACACTGCCTGGCAGAAGTACCGCGTTCAGAGTCAAGACAAATGACCAGCTGCAAAAAAGGATTTGTAATTCATGTCGAGGAGAAGGCTGCTCTCCCTGGTATATAAAGAAGGCCCCAGAAACTGATCTTTTTAAAGCCAACCAGTAACCAGTAACCCAATAGAAAACAAGCAAAGAGTGCAAACAGATGATTTATAAAACAGGAATACAAATAGCCCTTAAAGCAGGGAAGGCTGTGAGCCTGGCTTGTGGTCAATCTAAAACAGCTGAAAGAGATGCCATTTTTAATCTCAGACCCACAGAATGCCAATTTAATAAACACGCTCTGCTCGCAAAGTGGCAGGAAAGCCGCGCTGCCACACTTGGCAGGCAGCACGCACAGGAGCTCCACCCGGTGGAGGGCGTGCAGCACTGTCTGCCGGAGTGAGCAGCTCTGCATGGCACCCCCACTGGTCGTAGGTCTAGCAAGTCGCATTTGTGCACAGCTTTCTGCTGTAGCGTTTTTCAGTAAAAAAGTTAGATGCACATTAATGGGGTAACTGGTTCAAGTAGGCCACATCCATGTTATAGAAAGGTAAACAGGTACTTTAAAAGGAATTCCATATAGATGTATTGATGGGAAAATATCACCGAAATATAGTGGTAAATTAAAATGGTAAGATGCATAAAAAGTGAGTGTAATACACTTGTGTACAGGACTGCAGTATCATGTCGCTTTGGAGGAGAGGGAGAGAAAAGACATAAGTGTGTCAAAAGCACGCACACACGCACGCACTCATGGCTTCCGTAGAACTAGAAAGTCAGCAGGAGCCAATGCGGCACGGCTCAGGGTGGGCTTGCCTTGGAGAGAGCAGGAACCGCGCCGTGTGCAGCGGCAGGGGCGCTTTCCTGTGTGCCTTCCCGCCGCTGACCAGTGGTGGGAACGCAGTGACCGTCCCAGCAGTTTTTCATTGAGAAGGGCATTCAGTTATCAGTGAGTGGAACCTGGAAGCTAAAATCCGGGTTCTTGGTCAGAAGGGGTAGCTGGGGTCGCAGACACCAAGGAGGGGACTCTCCTTACAAGCAGGCCGCGAGTCACCGGCTAGTGGGAGGGCAGCCACAGCTTGCAGGGAATGAAACGCTGTGGCGTCCTGGAAGCCACGCGGGCAGCACCATGGGGGGGGGCTTCCTAGAGGAGAGGCACTTTAGGTGAGGTGGGCACCCCCCGGCCTGTGGTCATGGCGGGCTCCGTTCCGGAAAGCCCCGTGGAGGAGGGCTTGCACTGTGTGGTGGCAGTGGGGCAGCGTCACAGGCTCTGTGACTGGAGAGTGCGGGGGAGCCCCAGGGAGCCCCTCACCCCCTCTGCCCTTGGGGCTGTGAGCAAGGAAGAGCTGATAAAATTGACAGGTTCCTCTGTTCCTTCCTTCTTTCTACCTTTTTGTTCCATTGGAAGGGACCCCCTGCGTTCTGTCATCTTTTAGAGCAAAGCTTACGGAAGGGGAAACGTAGTATAGCGTTAATATCAGCAGAGGGCCGCGTTCCAGGGAACACGGCCTGCAGTTACTTGATACTGGAAGGGGCGCGAACTAAAGTCGTAGTCGGGACAGAATTATCTTGCTTTAAATCCACAAACCCCCCACGTGCCCACCTGCAGGTGCCCCCGCAGCACCAGCCACAAAACATTGTTGGGGACCTCCTGGAACAGAGCTCGCTTTGACATTAGTACAAAGAGATTCTGTGACTTTAAACACTCTGTGAACTTTCGGTGTCTCCCGTGTCTAGAAGAAGTGGTCAAAGTGTACTCACGGACCCCTGCCCACGCTTCGTTCCAGGGCATGAAAGCGTCTGGCAAGCAGGACGAGGCCTGGATCCTGAACCGGCTCATCAAACAACTCACGGACATGGGCTTCCCGGTGACCGGCTCTCTCTTGTTCTACTGCTCCCCCTCCGTGCTCCGCGGGTCCCCTCCCACACGGCCCCCACCGTGTCCTTTCTGATCTCACCACGTGTGACAAGGAAGCTCCCCTTCATCTTGGCACTTGTGTTGAGGGCTCACTGCTTTGAACCACAGCAAAGAGCCGCACCCTTTCTATCAAGAAAGGCGTGAGAGCTTTTTCCTAGAATCAAGTTTTCATTGGTTTATATAGTCTTATAGTTTCATTCATAATTAATTAAAAGTGAATTTTTGTTAGTTTACACAATAGATTGACAAAAATCACAAGAGAAAACTTGGTGTAGAGGAAAAGCTTCACATCCAGAAAAAGAACCCTCAGGGCCCTGTGTAGTTCCTCAGTTTCGGGTCACGTGTGGTGAGCTCAGAGTCACGGGACGTCCCTCTGGAAATGGGTCACGGTCCCTTCAGACCCTGTGGTCTAATGGCGGAGAGCAAGGGGTACCGCCTACATCTGCCACGTAGACCCCTCAAATGTCTTGTCCCCACACGTGTATTAAGTGGGTGTTTATCTTTTGATCATTGTGGATGTCTCCTAAGAGACAGTCCAGAGTGGCCCCAGTCTGGAAGGGGGAGCTGTCTGCTCCGCACCGAGCAGGGCCCTCCCCACACTGAGCAGGGACAGTTAGCAGTTAGCACAATGAGCCCCTTAACCACAGAGCCCAGAGTCCGTGAAAGAGAGGGTGGACCTCCACACTCCAACTCTCACCCTGACGTGCACAGCTGCCGGCAGGAGGGTCGGGGCGCGGTGGCTGTGGTGCCGGGGCTGTCCTGCCCACAGTCTGCATGAGTCCATGGCGGTGGCCCTGCTGTCCCGGCGGAAGTGTCTGCCTCGCTCCAGGGCACGGGGCACGGAAGTGTGAGGTGCTGGCTCCTTCCCGGGGCTCTTTATGCTCCAAACAGTCTCCAGCTGCAACAGTGAAGGAGAGTATTTCTGTTCCGAAACCTAATGACATTAGGTTAATAACAAGGCCTTCCCTAAGCTGATAGCGACAAACTCTTTATAAACGTTTCCCTTTGCTAACATGCCCGTCTAATGAAACCTCGGTCTTCCCCACAGAGAGAGCCAGCTGAAGAGGCCTTGAAGAGTAGTAACATGAATCTTGACCAGGCCATGAGTGAGTAAGACGCGCACTTCAAGCCCACTCCTCTCAGAGGGCCCAGAGCGAGCGCGTCACTGTAGCCGTGGGTTAGTGGCAGTGTCCGCGCTGGTAGACAGGACGGGCCGCAGCGCAGGAGGGACTGTGTGATACGCTCTGAGCCCCGAGCAGGTTTCCGGACTAGTGGGCTATGGGGACAAATGAGCAAAGGCCACACCGTGAACCGAGTTTGCTTTCTGCGTCTTTTTTCCAGAGCTTCAACAAATACGTGAGGTTTTTTTCCCCCTTTTTGAGGCAGGTAGTCAGGACACATGGAGAAGGGCACCAGACCACACGCACGCCAGCCTTCACACCGCGCTGGCTGAGCACGGGCTCTCGTTGGGGCTGCCAGGAACAAGCTGCCCTAGTTCTGGAGCCGCCTCGAACTGCAGCTGCCACGTTAGAAACTGTAAAGCACGGGGTCGGTGCAGAGGCGGGGCCGCGCCCTGCTGACCGCTGGCCTCGTTTCACCTGCGTCTCTGTTTGAAGACCCAATTTAATGCACGTTTCTCACAAATGACTACACGCCGTATTTCTTAATAATGAAAATTGGCTGACAAGGGTTTAACATTTCCTTGGGTAAGGTGACCATGGGTTTCTTTGGCTTTTGGACTCACACTATGCTGCTGGCTACACACCTTTTTAATCAGTCACTTTGTGAAGCCACGTTTTGCCCACAGCTTCACCGCACACTGCGGGCGCTCCCCTGCTCTTCCTGGGAAGCCCCGCGCACAGACGGTGGCTCGGCTCACCTCGCCCTTCTCCGGAGGCACCGCATTGTTGGCTCGTCGGCACTGAACTGGTGGCCGAGAGCCCCATCCCTCCACCTGAGCGGGCCCATCTGACCCGCACGCTCCCTCCGTGTTCGCTCACGGATGACAACACTGACTGAAAGCACCAGGATGTGCAAACGTGGCACTGAGTGGACCCCGGAGAGCGGGGATTTGCTGTTGGGTGGCAGGGCGGCGTCTTGTGGGGCCTGAGCCGGGGGGGGGGGTGCCCCACAGTCGGCGTCAGTCGCGCTGCACGCGCCGCAGCCGTCAGTCTGAGGCCACCAGGAAGGGCGGCAGTAGACGAGTGCACTGGGGCAGGAGCTGCCCGGGGACAGGCGGGGCCCACTGGGGTCGCCTCTCACCTCTTGCCACTGTGAAACAGCCAAGTTGTGAAAGAGCCAAGTGGGCAGGCCCACCGGGCGGAGAGCCCTGGGGCTGGGCTCCTGCTGTCCTTCACGGTGTCGTGTCCCCCACTGCTTGAAGAGCCCTTGCGACTGGGGGACCCAGCAAATGGAAATCGTGGCTGTGGGGGGACAGGGCAGCTCTGATGGACAGATGATGGGTAGTGGTCCTGGGAAGAGCACGGCCCAGCCCCAAGGGGCAGTGCGGCCAGACGGCGCGAGGGCTGAGAGCAGGGCCTCCCCGTTTCCGGGGCTCAGGGGCCTCGGGCATCTCAGGAGTTCTGGCCTGCTCTAGGTGCTCTGCTGGAAAAGAAGGTGGACGTGGACAAGCGCGCACTGGGAGTGGCCGACTACAATGGAATGGTCACCAAAGCCCTTGGCTGCCGCCCACCGATCTCCAAAGAGTCTTCCGTGGACCGCCCCGCCTTTCTCGACAAGGTATGAGGTTCGGCCTTTTTGTCTGTTTAACAAGAGGTGTTTTTCATTTTATCGGGGCCCGTTCTCCGCATTTTTGCTCTTCTTTTTTCACACGCATCCTGTACGTGTCCTTGGGCAGCTGCCGTGTGCCCTGTGTGCGGGTGGGCACCGCACACGCTCACCCTGTCTTTCTCCGTTCAGGACGGCGGCCTCGTGGAAGAGCCCACGACTTCACCATTTTTGCCTTCGCCGAGCCTGAAGCCCCCCCTTTCCAACAGTGCCCTCCCTAGTCAGGCCCTGGGCGGGGTTGCCTCAGGGCTGGGCATGCCAAACTTGAATTCTTCTCGACAGGTAAGGCCCCTGGCGGGGAGCAGCGCGGCCTCTGTCGCGTTCTGAAGTGTGATCGAACACGTGAGGGTGGTTAAAACACTGTAGACACTGTCTTTCACGTGACTGAGTGGTGTCGGGGCTCGAACTCAGTTCCTGAGATTTAACCATATGGGAGGAAATGCTTCAAAATTCTATTTCTTTTCCCGTGTAACTAAAATGTGTTTGAGTTCGGCACCCTTGGTGCTAACTTACTGCTCATTTAAATGGCACATAAATAGAAATCTTAAATGTCTTCCTCTGCCGAAAAACACCACTTTGTCCCCTTTTCTCAGAAGGAAAGAGGACGTCTCTTGTAAGGTTCCCGGTGACGTTCAGAGCCCCGTTAGTGCTGTCCCCTCCTTTGACACTCGTGGGGAGTGAGAGTCCCTGTCGGCCAGCACTGAGGGCGGACCTGAGGCTTTTGATTGATGGCTGGCTGTTCCGTATCCCTTTCCTGCCCCAGACTCTCCTGAGTGAAAGGGTGTGTGAGCACACCGTGCCCGTCCCACCTGGAGAACACCTCCTCCTGTTCATGTCCTCATCTCCGGGACTCTGAGTAGCTGCTGTGGCCCGCAGGGTGGCCGGACACTCCCAAGCACAGGCCTGTGGTCCTGGCCGACTACCAGCCGTGCGCCTTCCGCTGCCTGCAGCGTCCCACACTGCCAGCCCCTCGCAGCTTGACACAGCCGGCCCGGGGCAGCTCAGTGGGACACCTGCCATCACGCGGTTCACCGCCTGGATGTGCCCGTTTATGCGATTTCAGGGCTCGCTGTCAGGACTAAGATGTTTTCCTGTGTGGAAATTTGGCTCTTCTCTCGCACCTTCTAACTCACCCTTTTGGGAACACACGTTATTTACTAGCTGTGTGTCATGTTGCCCACAGTGCTGCGTCATCGGAGTTCCTTTTGGTGTGACACCCCTGTTTCGGGAGACTTGCACCTGGTGCGCCCGTGGTTAAACACGGGCCAGCTCCCTGGGCGGATTCTCATCATCCATAGTCCATTTAGACCACAGTTAGCAAACAGACCCTCCGGTGGGAGTTACGGAAGGGGTTGGAGGCCACGCTGCATTCCCATTGAGGAAAACGGATTGTTTGCCACCTTGTTCCTATAGTTCCGACTCCGATGACTCTGTCCCTCCGTCCCCTGCAGATACCGAGTGGCAGTCTGGGCGTGTTTGGCAGTAGCGGAGCAGCACAAGCCAGGAGCATGCCGCCGCCGCAGCCGCCCATGCCGCCGCTGAACCCCTCCCAGCCCGGTCTCCGTGCGCAAGTGCCTCAGTTTCTATCCCCTCAGGTCAGACCCGGTGTCGTACAGGGACAGAGCTCACAGTGGCCCCTGACTGGTCCAGGGCAGCGAGTGCCAGGCAAAGAGGTGCCCTTGACCGTTGACTGTCAAGGCCAGGGCTGGCAGAGCCACACGGGTGCATGTGCCACAAGGGCTGCCGGGGGCACTGTGCTCGCCGAGAGGAGGGGCTGCTTCCTCCCACAGCAGGGGACCGCTTCCTGAGCACGTAAACTCGAGAAGGGGCTGCTGCCGGCCCTGGGACGGGACCCACTTGTGGGGGGCATGGTGCCATCAACCAGGAGGTGTGCACCTGCCTTCCTTGAGAGGTTGGACCTGAGCGACAGTGACTCCTTCCCTGGGACCCACCTGCACTGCCTACTGTCCTTTCGTTGGGCCCACCGATTGTCACTGTGACGGGTGACCCAGAGTAACCCCTAGAAAGGAAATTAGAAAGTTCATACATAACTAGAATGTTTGGAGGAAGAGATCTCTTTCCTTCTTCCTCCTTCCCTCCTCTCCCCTCTTTCCTCCCTCATTCCTCACAGAAGCATGTTAACTAATGTCAAAAGGCCCACAGATGTTTTCACGTTCACCCGTGAGACAGGTGTCGTTCGGTCAGCAGTTCTGAATGCAGGCCTGACGCAGAGGAGGAGGTGCTGTCACGGTGACTCGCTGCCTCCGGGCCTGTTTTGTGTCGCAGGTTCAAGCACAGCTTTTGCAGTTTGCAGCAAAAAACATTGGTCTCAACCCTGCACTATTGACCTCGCCGGTTAACCCTCAGCACATGACGATGTTGAACCAGCTCTATCAGCTGCAGCTGGTGAGTGGACGCGCCGGCCAGGCCGCGCTTGAGGGCACAGCGACAGCGCCCCTGATCCTTGCAGAGATGGCATGTGTGCGGACGTGCCGTCGCCTGGCTGGTGAGAGTGGCCGGGGGACTCTTTTTTTGTCATAGAGACATTTGCACTGTGAGCTGTCCAAAGAAGTAGCGAGTTTTCCCCTTGGTGGCGTTTTTTCTGAGTAGTAAGCTCCCTGGTTCACAGAGTCGCCCCCGTCTCACAGCCGGGCACTTGGTGGCCGGAGCTCGCAGCCAGCCTTCCTCACCCAGAGCTTCTCATCTCCGCCGCAGGGCACGGGAAATCGTTGCAGTGGCTGATTTCCAACTTCTAAGGATGGAATGTACGTTGTTCTAGAAGTTTGAGAGAAGTCATTTCCTTACAGAGTAGATGCCTCAGAAATGAGGACATGATTCTCACCCCAAACCCCTGCTGAGAAAGGCTGATGTGATAGAGCCTAATTGTTGTTGAAAGTTGCGACGTAACATGTCTTGGATCCTGAACGTTTAACGGTCTCGGTGCTCTTACCGCGAGAGGCCACGTCCCTGTGTCTCGGGACACAGCGAGTGTGTGCACTGAAGCACGTGTGCGATGTTCGTGCTTTAATACGGTGACACCTGATCTACTTGGTCGGTCCCACAACGTCACCTCCTAGAAGATGCCTGGGAATCATGAGGGGAAGCATCCCCTAGACAGAACTGCCATCATCGCACCGCCCCTTCCGGCGGCGTCCTGCGCACACTCAGTCCGGATTGGGGAGCGTGTCCTGGAGACAGTCATGGTCTTTGGGGAGTGCCCGGGGATCTGGGCACCACTGGACTGTTGGGGAGACAGGCCGCACCGCAGGGCTCCCTGAGGCCGGAGGACTGAGGGCAGGTGGTGTCATTTACAGCTGCCAGCACTCGGAAGAGACCTTGACCTCAGGCGGAGAGGACCCAGCATGTCGTTGGCAGCTCTGCCACGACACGTGGCTGGTCGTGGTGCTGCCGGTCTGAGTCCTCCACTCACGTGCTTTGTGGACCCCCTGTGTGTGGGGGGGCATGGAAATGCTGCACCATGTTTAGTGCGTTCTGATTTTAAAGCAACGTGCACTGTCTCCACGTTTTTTCCAGAAAGATGGGTAGAACATTGCCGTGCACTCTTAAGGTTACATTGTAGGTCCAGTAGGATTCGCTTACGTGAAGTATTTTATTCCTTGTAATTTGCAGGTTAAGGAGGCATCTCTAACAGTGTAGTCTCTCCATTTTCTTGGATTCTATTTTAAAAATATCCTCTGGCCCAAAACTTCCCAGAAAATCCATATCGTATGAAAAAATTGATGTTGGCCAACATTTGTAAACAGTTGACCAAACTGTTTGCATCTGCACACAGAAGAGTGTCACGGTCACTGTGGTGGCTCATGGACGGGTTCTGTGTCAGACATGTCACACGTCTGGGCGTGCGGCTCCCGAAAGGACTGCTGAGCCATGAGCGTGCGGTGTCCCTGCTCGGGCGGCGCCCCCACCGTCCACCACCCCCACCCCCCCCCGAGCCGTCAGGGACAGTTTTTGTCTGTGTCGTTAGGAGAAGAAGTGTTTTTCCGCCTTACCTTCGTTTCATTTTCACTTTAGTTGGTAAGATTGACCGAGGAATTCTGGTCTCAGTAACTGGAACACTCGCTGACGCGCTCCATCACCAGCACTCGGCAGGGGCACTGCCTGGGGCGCCCCCCCAGGACCCCAGGCCGGGGGGCTTTGGGAAGGCACTTCTCCTTCCAGAAAGGTCCCCTTGACACACACAGTGTTTAAACCACAGTGTGCCAAGGGGACCAAGACTCAGCCCTACCAGTGCTGAGGGGAACCACTTGCTGGTGGCCGTCTCACGGTGTCTCAGTTGCCCTCTCTGTCGGCAGGCATACCAACGTTTACAAATCCAGCAGCAGATGCTCCAGGCCCAGCGGAACGTGTCCGGACCCATGAGACAGCAAGAGCAGCAAGTGGGTGCCGTCCTGGGCTCAGCGGGTCCGTGAGCGCGAGTCCTCGCTGCTCCAGGAGACGCTAGTTGCTGGGCTGGTCCATGGTCCTGGGTTTTTCTCCCACTTAGCCTCCCCGTCCGTGAGGCTTGAGGTCACCTAGGTTTGGGAGGAGGCTGGCAGTGGGGACTGACAACGGGGTGACGGGGACCACTTCACCCACTCACGTGCGTACGTACGTCTGCCGCCAGGTTGCGCGCACAATCACTAACCTGCAGCAGCAGATCCAGCAGCAGCAGCGCCAGCTGGCCCAGGCCCTGCTCGTGAAGCCCCCGCCGCCCCCGCCGCACCTGTCTCTGCACCCTTCTGCAGGCAAATCGGCCATGGACAGCTTCTCCCCGCACCCTCAGGCCCCCGGCCTGCCCGACCTGCAGACCAAAGAGCAGCAGTCTTCGCCCAGCACCTTCGCTCCTTACCCTCTCGGTGAGTCTCCGCCCACGTGTGGCGGCCCAGTCCGTGCGAGACATACTGTTCCTGGCAGGCTGAGAGTGGCTCTCGGCCTTCGTACTCAACAGGACAGCTATAAATACTTCCAGTGTAGAATCTTGTAAGCAGGGCTGGCGAAAGTCCCCAGGTTACCTCGTGCCCCTTGTTGAAGGTGCAGTCTGCTCTGCTCCTGGGTTGCTCCTGACTTTCCTTAGCTGCCACTGTCCCCCAGCCTCTGCCGCAGGGAAGAGGGTAGCACGGCTTTCCAGCACAGGGGTTCAGATTTCTGTGGGCCAGGCACTTCTTTAAAGTGTTAGGCGGTGAAGTCAGCCAGAGCAGTGTGTGGGCATTGACCCCTGACCAGGAAGGGGCAGCTCAGCACTTCACACCTTCAGGTCAGTAGAGGGCACAGGCCGCCTGTCTGCCGGGGGGCCAAGGGTCTAGAGCTGCCCAACCATAGTCAGAACCAGGGAAACCCGTGTCCAAAGGGATGGAGGCCCGGGGAGTGCCAGTGAACCTGCTGCCGGCTGCCAGGGCCCCTTCCTGTCCCTGCTGCTGTCGGTCTCTGGAAACTGGTGTATTCTGAACATGGAGCACCTCCCTGGGACATAGACGGACGTGGCGTGTCTTCAGTATGAAACTGCAGTGTATGCTGAGCCGTGACTGTCCCCTCCCTGTGTCACTGCCCTGCCCACACTGCCCTTTATGTGAGGAGCAGAAGGGTCTGAGCAGGAAGACCTGGCTTGGGGATGAGGCTGCCATGCTGCATCCCAGCCCCGCACCCACAACTTGCTTGTGCCCCGTGGCTGGCTGTTCTTCTGCCTCAACTTCCCCATCTGTAAAGTGGGAATATGCGCGCCTCAGGGGGTTCTTTTAAAGATTAAACGAATCAGCCCTGGCTGGTATGGTTCAATGGATTGAGAGCCAGCCTGCGAAGCGAAAGGTTGCTGGTTCGATTCCCAGTCAGGGCACATGCCTGCATTGCGAGCCAGGTCCCCCGTAGGGGAAGGGATGTGAGAGGCAGCTGACCAGTGTTTCTCTCATACACTGATGTTTCCTATTCTTTCTCCCTCACTTCTCCTCTCTCTAAAAGTAAATAAATAAAATTGTTAAAGAGAAAGATTAGGCAAATCAATAGGCAGCACTCTGGGACAGTGCCCAGCACGCAGCACTCGTCTCGTGGAAGCGCTTCTCCTGCAGGAAGTCGTCTGGGGACAAACTCGGCTGCACCTGCTGTCCCGAAAAGCGCTGACTTCAGCGTCGCGCATCCCCGTCCTCCGAACCGTTCGCCTTCTGGAGAGTGGGGTGCACTAATCTTTGCCGGGGGGGGGGCGGGTTTCTTTAGCACAAATTTAAAAAATAGTGCGGTGAATCTTTCAAATTAGATGAAAGGTAATTTGGGAAAACTCTCATAGTGTTCACACTAAGGTTGTAAAGTAAGTGGGTGGCGAGGCATTTGAAACGCAGCCTGTACAGTTCCCAGGCCAGCCGGTGCTCGGCAGTCTTTCTCAGCAGCCGGAACTCCCCACGCCCACCTTCCTTCCCACTCGACCTCTGCACGTGACGCCGACTCCTGGAGTATGTGGTCCCCACGGGACACTCGGGCACATGGATGTGGGAAGGCGCCCTTCAGAGCCCGTGTGGCCGTGGGGCGGGGCTGTAGCGAAGGGGGCGTTCCCGTTCACCTTGCGTGAGGGGGCAAATGAGAGCAGGGCTGAAGCTGTACCTCCAGGCGAGTAGGGTATCCGTCAGGAGAAGCCTCGCCCAGGAGCGGTGTGCGTGGGGTGTGGGCGGGGACCAGGGCCGGGCGGTCTGACTGGTGTGTGGGAGGAGTACAGGGACGAGGCGGAGGCTGAGATGGGGCCGGGGCCCAGCTGCGGGGTTTGAGCCCTCACCCAGCCAGCTGTGCACCAGGGGAAAGGAAGGTGGGCGTGAAAGCAGAGCCTGCAAACAGGCAGCATCTCACGTGCAAAGGTCTCTGCTTAGGTCTGCATGGTGTGCGTGTGTGTTAAACACTTGAAAATTGGAGTTTCACATCTAAGTGGCTCCTCGCCTCTTGGATGGCAGCATTCGGGCCGCATTCCACATGGACCCAGCAGCACCTGCTGGCTCAGGACAAGTGCTGTCTGTACCCCACCCCCCCGGCCCACCACCCCTGGGCTTGCATTGCCCACTTGGCCCGTGCAGGCATTTGAGTTTGCAGCTCGGACTGAAGTGAAGAACAAACACACAGACCCCTGCTCAGGGCAGAGACTCACCGGCGCTGTGCACCAGGGCCTGCAGGCCAGGCCCGCAGCTCAGGGCACCCGGCACTGCTGTGCTGCGCTCCGTGGTGGTTCTGTCCAGCCCCGAACTGGCGTCCCCATCCGAGCTCTGCTCCAGCCTTCCTGTCGCCCGTCCCCCCCCCCCCCCCGCCTTCGTTTCCCCAGCACAGCAATGGGACTTGCTGGAAACCCCAGATGAACCCAGGGCAGCAGCCTCCCCGGCAGAGGCGGCGGCGGCACCCACGCTCTCAGATAGGCCTGCTCCCCAAAAGTCATTTGATAGTGAATTCACAAACACCCTCTGAGCAGACAACAAAGGCGGTCCGTTAAAGGTAGAATTGAATTATCCCGACTAGCTTGTTCTAGGAGATCCTTCAGACCACTCCTCCCAACTCAGAGGTTTTGATCTAGTGATTTCCATAAGAGGCCCTGAAATCAGAAACGGTTTTCCTAGTGGTTTGGCCTTGTTCTGTTTTTCTGTGAATGAGAAGCCTCAGGACCATGCCGAGCAGTGAAAAAAGTAGAGCAGACCCACTGGTCTTCCTCCGTCAAAGGCTGCTCACCCGCTCACCGCCTCTCCCATCTTACAGAGGCGTGGCTCCTCTCCCTTGCTGGTGTCGGGTGTCACAGGGGACTTGCCAGCTTCAGGAAGCGGCCCTGCAGAGGGCGGGGCCTGCCCTCACCATCTCTCTCTCTCTCTGCAGCTGGACTGACCCCCAACGTGAGCGTCGGCAGCATGGACATGACTGGCGGTTTGCCGGTGAAGGACCCATCTCAGTCCCAGTCGCGCCTCCCTCAGTGGACACACCCCAACCCTATGGATAACGTGCCCGGTGCTGCTTCTCCTCTCGACCAGAACCCCGGCAAGCACGGTACGGCCGAGCCCAGCCGCTGCACGGGGGCCCTCTCGTCTTGTCACCCAGGCCGCACTTGTCTTCTGAGCGGCGGTGCTGAGAGCGGCACCAAAACACTCCATTCCACTGCAGAGAGTGCGGGGTCCCAGCTGGTGGGCGGTCCGCCACCCGAAACCCCAGCACCTGATCTTAGCTGCCAACCCAGAGGAAACTGAAGACGCCCCAGAGCAGCAAAGGGCACATAGAGGGCACAGCCTGTGTCGTCTTTACTTGCACTGCGCCCCTCAGCGGAAGTGTTGAATCTGCCGAGGAGATTTGTTTAATAGAAGGATGAAATGCGATAGAAAATCAAAAGCTTAGAAAGGAGGAGGAAGCAGAAACGCTAAGAACCACAGGAGGCGGCCTCCGTAAGCATTCAGTTTGGTTCTACATTCCAAGGTAGCATAGCAGCAGAGGAAATACACAGGGTATACCATTTTCTTTTTATACAAAGCATCCAAAAAGAAAAAGTCTAATGGCGAATTCTCCAGGACGGCCACCGCGTGCTGTCAGGGCGCCTCCCCGGGCACGGGCAAGCTCGGCACACTGGCAAGGCGGGCTCGCCGGCCCTCGCGGAGACCCTCGAGTTGTCCCAGGAGAGGTTCCCTGGGCAGCTTCCCACCGTGGGTGTGCGTCCCATCAGGGCATCCAGCGGGACAAGCAATACAACTCTTAAAGAGTTGGCCTTTCAAGGACAAAGTTGGTTATGCTCAGAATGCCGGGCTAACTGCGCCTGACAGCTCACCCTGGACCAGGGCCAGACCCGGTACTTGGCAGGGAGGACCCGGGCCCCACTCACGTGCCGTTTCCTGCTGTGCCCACAGGTGCTATCCCTGGAGGTCTGAGCATCGGGCCTCCGGCCAAGTCCTCCATCGACGACTCCTATGGCCGGTACGATCTAATCCAGAACAGTGAGTCACCAGCCAGTCCTCCGGTAGCTGTCCCCCATAGCTGGTCTCGTGCCAAATCTGACAGTGATAAAGTCTCAAACGGCTCCAGCATCAACTGGCCCCCAGGTAAGAGCAGGCACCGCTTCCTGCAGCTGCAGGTCAGGACGCACTGCACACCCCAGGGGAACAGTGAGGCCTCGGAAAGCAGGCCCTGAGCGAAGGGTCCTGGAGTGACAGCCCCGTGGTGGTGGCTTCCTTGCTGGAAAGCTGTGGGTCAGATCGGCGCCGAGGTGGCTGGTGCCGAGCGCTGCTCCGCAGCCCCTCCTTTCAGTGGCAGCGTGGTTGGGCGTGGCGCTGGGCTCCGTCCAGTCTGGAGTTTCGGGGTCTCAGCCCACCAGCTGAGCCGTCCTTCATGGTGGCTGCAGTGCCTGGTTCTAGTTTGTTCCAGAGGATGACTAATTTACAAAAGAAAGCCTAAAGTGTCCCTTTGGATTTAATTAGCAGATTATTAAAAGTTTGATTCATTTAGCAGATTATTAAAATTTCCAGCTCTGGCTGGTATAGCTCAGTGGATTGAGTGCAGGCTGTGAACCAAAGGGTCACCAGTTCAATTCCCAGTCAGGGCACATGCCTGGGTTGTGGGCTAGGTCCCCAGTGGGTTGTGCGAGAGGCAACCACATACAATGTTTCTCTCTCCTTTCCTTCCCCTCTCTCTAAAGAAATAAATAAAACATTTTAAATAAAATACAATTTTTATAAATTGTCATGGAGCAATGTGAAGGTTCCTAATACTCCTATTTTGATCTTCACTTTGGAATTTTCCAGAATTCCATCCTGGAGTTCCTTGGAAAGGACTTCAAAACATAGATCCTGAGAATGACCCTGACGTCACTCCTGGAAGCGTGCCCACCGGGCCGACCATCAACACCACCATACAGGATGTCAACCGCTACCTCCTCAAGAGCGGAGGTGAGGAGGGCTGCGAGCACACGCGCGGACGCCCGGCGGAGACAGCTGGGTGGGCAGCTTCTCTAGCAGCGCGAGGAGTGGCCGGGTGGTGCTCGTGGTGAACATGGAGGTGGGTTTGCGGTTTATTAACACACCTGCTTTATAAGCAACATAAAGGCCACCTCAGCGTTTCCTGGTGACCCCTGAACTGGGGGGCGTGTGGTGTGGCAGACAGTGGGCCTGGGCTTCACTGCGGCACAGCTGCTTCCTCGTGCGCAGCAGGGATGGCGGCGTCTCCGCCACCCGTGGGTCGTCTGGACGAGCGCTGTGAGCTGCTACTGCCCGAGCGCTCGCCTCTCCCCACGCCACCTGCCCCCCACCCCGCGCAGCTCTGAGACAAGCGTCGAGGGGGTTAAAGTCCTGGAGGCACTACCTGCTGGGAACTTGCTGTCCCTGGCATTTGCCACCAGGGAGGAAGGCCACTGTAGCAGTTTCTGAGGTTAGCTCCGAGCCCCCGAGTGCCCACCTCCCGTGCTTGGCTAAATGCAGTTTCCCTCTGACCGTGGACATCAGGAGTCTCTCCAGGAAGAGCTGAGAATGGCTTGTGAAACACCTCAGAGGAATCTTGAGTCTGAAGTGTCAGGAAGGCCAGGACGTAAAGAAATGTGGGGGTGCGCACAGGAACAGGCCGTGCCACCAGTCCGTAAACAGGGCTGACGCGAGGAGGGCCCATGGCTCACAGGTGTCTTCACACGCAGCTCTGGGCCCCACCCCAGCTTCCTTCTGGAAGCGAGGGCGCTGCGCGGGTCCTCTGGTCGCTGCCGCGGGGGGAGAGGCTCATTGCCGAGTGCTTCCACGTCTTGCCTCAGAGTCTGCCCTGTTCTGTCCCTGCTGGTGCTCTCGCTCCGATACTCGTGAGGGCGGTGTTCCGAGGCTTTTGATGTTCCTGTGGCCATTTGACTAAACAGCGAGAGTAAAAAAGAACCACCTTCCCTGCACCTAAGGTTGCTTTTTGGTGTCTCTTTTTCTGATCAGCGACACAGTTGCTGAGATTAGCATTTGTTTGTTGTGGGGTCACAGTGGACTCCGGTGGCCAGGGTTGGAGAACTGCCCTTGGGGTTTCTGTTGTCCTGGTCACTGCAGTGCTGTCCAGGGAGCAGTGACAATGACCCCTCTGCTGCCAGCGCCTCCCGTGCAGCCGGTGAGGTGGGCACCCAGGCGTCTGCGCATCCCAGCCGCGCCCTGGCTGCAGCAGGGACCGGGGCTGACGGTCGTGACCTGGTCTTTGGAGGTTTTTGTTGTTCTTCTTCTTTTTCCAAAGAGGCTTAAACATGCCCCCACCCAGGTACCAAGATGCTGAACTGCTTGGCCGCTGGGGTGGCCGGGCCGTACCCAGTGCCATGGGGTGACAGGGACGGCACGTCTCAGAGCCGTGCGGGATAATGGCACAGGCGGTTATGGCTGAGGGCCTGGTCTGAACAGGGACTGAGACGCACGGAAGCAGCATGGAGGACACACGCCACCCTCCACACTCCTTAGGCTCCGGCCTTGACCAACGTGTTGTCTCCTGCGTCCTCGCAGACACATGGGTAGGGCAGCTCCAGTGTCAAACAACAAAAATGCTTTGCTCAAGAGCGAATTTGTGTCTGGCACGTTTAGCAGATCGGTTAACTATCAGCAGCACTGGCCGGGCCGACACTGGATGCAGGCGGAGGTTCGAGAAAGCGTCCCCACGGTTCTTGGGCGGAGGTTCTTTACTGTGTATCGGCAAGCCTCTTGGGGGTCCCCAAGCTCCCCTCTGCCTCACAAATGCCCATGCCCGTGTCCTCATCCTTCTAGGGAAACTGTCAGACATGAAATCGACGTGGTCCTCCGGCCCCGCCTCCCACACGCAAGCCTCTCTGTCTCATGAGCTGTGGAAGGTGCCCAGAAACACTACTGCACCCACGCGGCCACCGCCGGGCCTCACCAACCCCAAGTCTTCCTCCACCTGGGGAGCCAGCCCCCTCGGCTGGACCAGCTCTTACTCCTCCGGTATGTATCCGTTTTCGTGTCCAGACGGGGGGGGGGGGCGCGCTCCATGTTCACTCCGTGTACTCTTCAGGGGGTGTGCCTGCCGCTCCTTGGGAGGACCCTGGACCCTTAGAGGGCTTACAGGGCAACAGGGCCCAGCGCCAGCTGCCACTGTTCTCAGCATCAGCTCTGGGCGAGCAAGCCCACGCGGGTCCACTCTGAGCAGTTAGGTCCCTGCGTCTCAGCACATGCAGGGGCCACACGGGGTCCTGGGGAAAGTCCTGCCAACCAGCAAAGGGTCTCTGTGCCACTCTAAATTCAATTCTTCACAGCCCTTCCCTGGAGGAAGGGCTTTCCTGGCCAAACACAAACCCCGGGGGTGGGGGTGGGGGTGGGGACTCCCATCCTTGCGTCACAGCTCTGTAGCTTCCCACAGGCGCCCTCTGCTGGCCGGCAGGGATGGAAGATGGGCACAGGGCACCCAAGACACTGAGGTGAAGCCAGCCGAGCAGAGCGAACTGCCACCCCCTCCTTCTGATTAAAGCCCTGTGCTCGGTCTCATGAATAAGTCGCTAAGGGTGGGGAGGGAGAGGCAGAGGGGGAGCCCTGCCACCAGCCCCAGGGTCTGCACAGTGACGCTTTGTGCTGGCAGCTACCTGCAGGCGGCTCACTGACTGAGTTCTTCCCTGGTCTGGGGCAGGTTCTGCTTGGAGCACTGACACCTCAGGAAGAACCAGCAGCTGGCTCGTTCTCCGCAACCTCACACCCCAGGTACCGTGGGGGGAGTGGCACCATGGGGGGCGAGGACTCCCACCCACCCCGGTACACCGTCTCTTCGTTGGGCACCCTCATTAGGGCCCAGAGGGGGCACGGGCAGTAAGGAGTGGACATACCCAGGGGTCTTTTAGCCACGTGTCTGTGGAATTACTTACTTCTTACTCCTTTGAGGCTTGAAAACTGTACCTTTGTGATCAGAGTTGCTCGCCTTTAACAGCAGCCACCCACGAGTGATTTGGCCTGTGCCCCCAGCCCAGGCTGCAGGCCACTGGGGACCATGCGCTCCGTGTGGTACACTCCGGCGAGGGGAGCAGGACCAGAACGGGCTTTCTCCTTCTGGTCAACAGTCCTCAGACGTGACTGAGGTGTCCCAGGTTTTCAGAGTGCCTAGCCGCAAAGCTATAAAAGGTTTATGTCATGAAGTCGTACATATTAAGCCCTTTTAAAAAGAGACATTCTCCCAACATTCAGTGCACCCGATTCCATATGCGTTTGCTTTGAAGAACGTAGTGGAGGAAGGTCACGGGAAGCTCGTTACCACCCCCTGTGTTTCCTCAATCAGATCGACGGCTCCACCCTGCGGACGCTGTGTTTGCAGCATGGGCCGCTCATCACATTCCACCTGAACCTGACTCAAGGCAACGCCGTGGTCCGCTACAGCTCCAAGGAGGAGGCCGCCAAGGCCCAGAAGTCCCTGCACATGTATGTGCCTCCGCAGCCCCGGCTGCAGCCCCAGCAGGGTTGGGTTTGGGGTGCAGCGGGCATGTCCTTGGGCTACTGTGACCGAGTGCCACCGGCAGACGGGCACTGTCCCTTGGTTCAGGAGCTGGGAGTCCAAAGTGTCGGCAGGGTCAGCTCCTTCCGAGGCCTCACTCCTGGGCTTGCAGATGGCCACCATTCGTGTGTCCATGTCCTGACTTCCTCTTCTTACAAGGACACCAGTCAGGAGCGGATCAGGGCGCACCTTAATGCCCCTCATTCTACCGGGATTATCCCTTTAAAGACCACTCTCCAAGTACAGCCATATGTAGTGGTATTGGGGGTGCGGGCTTCAACGCGATTCGGAGGAGACACCATTCACCCTGTAACTGCAGCCAAGTGGCCATGCCCTCCACCAGGGAAAGGCCCCCCGGAGAGTGGGTGTAGAGACCAGTGACAGAAAGAAGACCCCTTCCCCTCCCCCAGGTAGCGGCGCGCATGCAGCCCTCTCGTGTCCCCAGCTGGGCTTAGCAGTGGTCCTTACAGCCCCCTCTTCACCCCATTAAAGGACAGGGTTTTGTAACTTTTCTTTAATTTTTTTGTGTTTTTAGAGAGAGGGGAAGTGGGGGGCGGGGAGAAAAGGAGAGAAACATCTATCGGTTGCCTCTTGCACGCCCCCACCTGGGGACCTGGCCTGCAGCCCAGGTGCGTGCCCTGGCTGGGAACCAGCCCCCGACCTTTCTGTGAGCAGGCCGGCGCTCAGTCCGCCGAGCCCCACCAGCCAGGTCCTAGGCCCAGGTTTGATAAGATGTGTGCAGAGACCTCCTTGGTGACACCACCCGAGATGCCGGTCCGGGATGTAAATTACACCGATCCTAGGTGGTGCTCAAGTTCATGTGTGCGTGTACACACTACCTCAGGGATGTGTTGCCCACAGACACACTAGCTGCTGTGAGAGTCCAGAACGAGACGAAGTGCGCTCTGGGCCGGGAGCAGCCGTGGTCGACATGGGCACAGCCTGGCTCTGGGGTCCTGCGCTGAGAAGCCTTCGGCCCAGCTGTGCCCGCAGAGAGAAAGCAGCCGGGAGGTTGGGCAGGCCCGCGCGCTCACACCGCCCCTGGTCTGCGCTTTCATTTGTTTGGAGATAAAACTGACGTACAACGTGTCAGTGCGTCGAAACATGTTTGAAACATTTCAGTGTCACAGCGGTTGGTGCCTCCATGGCACCGGGAGTTCACTTCATGTTTCCTTTTTGTGGTGAGACCATTGAAGGTCTGCTCTCTGAACAGCTGCCCGGTGTCCAGTGCAGGGTCGTTAAACTGCCACCGCCCAGCTGTGCATGCCACCCTCAGAACTGGCCCCCTTCTGACCGGAAGTCCGCGCCCTCTCACCCACACCCCCCAGGTCCTGCAGCCGCTCTCCACTCTGCTTCTGCGAGTTCGGCGGTTTGGGACCCCACCGCAAGTCATACCACGTGGCAGTTCTCTCTCTCCCCCGCTCTCTCCCTCGGCACAGCACCTTCCAGATTCACCCACGTCGCCGCAGGTGGCAGGGTTTTCTCCTCTCGTGGCTGAGTGATGTTTGCCCGTGTGCGTGTGTGTGTGCACCCTGTCCACTCAACCCATTCTTCCATTGATGGGCACCGAGGCTGTCCACTTTTCAACCAGGTTGTTTGGGTTTTGTTGCTGAGTTACGTGAGGTCTCTGTGTGTTGGCTGCTAAACCCTTACTAAATAGCTGGCGTGCGAATACTTCTCATCCCACGGGCTGTCCGTGCACGTTCCCAGTGGTCTCCTTTGCTTTGCGGAAGCCCCCCGGCTCCGTGCAGCCTCACCTGGGGACTCGTGCTTTCACTGCTCGTGCTTTTGACTATTGCCGAGATCGGCATCAAGGAGCTGTTTTCTGTTCTCCTTTAGGAGTTTTATGGTTTCGGTTCTTACGTTAAGTCTTTAATTCATTTGGAGTTGATTTTTGTGAGTGGTATAAAACAGAGATCCAGCCTCATCTTTGCGTGTGTGCTTATCCAGGTTTCTCTGCAGCGTGTACTGCAGAGACTCATGTCCCCATTGAGTGTCCCTGGCACCTTGTCAAACATCACTTGGCTGTGTCCGTAGGGGCCTGTTTGTGCCAGTCCATCTGTCTGTCTCTCTTTAGGCCCCTGTCACAGTTTTGATTACTGTGGTTTTGCCATTTGGTCTGAAACCAGAAAGTGGGATACCTCCAGGTTTGTTTTTATCAGTATTATTTCCACTCTTTAGGGTCTTTTGTGATTCCATTCGAACTTTAGGGTTCTTTTCACTGTCTCTGAGGAAACCATTGGCATTTGATTGGTTTTTCATTGACTCTGCAGACGGCTTTGGATTGCGTAGACATTTTAACAGCTTTGATTCTTCTGATCCTTGAACATGTGATATCTTTACATTTGTCTTCAGTATCCTTTACTTCCTTGTTTAAATTCTAAGTATTTCATTGTTTTTGTGCTATCATGATGGGATTTTTTTGTTTTTCAGAATGTCATTGTCAGTGTATAGAAATCCGTGGGTTGGTTTATGTCCTGCTGCTTCACCGGCTTTATTGATTAGCTCCAGCAGTCTTTGGCTGAGTCTTTAGGGTTTTCTTCATGTAAGGTCATGGACCCCAGCACTGTGTTGAGTGGCAGTGGCGAGAGGGGCGCCCTCTCTGGTTTCTGGTCGCAGAGGAAGAGCTTTCAGCCTCTCACCATGGAGTGTATCGGCTGTGGGCTCATCACGTGGCCTGTGTCATTGCGAGGCGCGTCCCTGGCCCTCCGCACTCTGCCTGTTGGGGTGTTTATTGTGAAGGATGCTGTGTTTGGTCAAATGCTATTTCCGTATCATTCGCGATGATGATGTGCTTTAGATCCTTCATCCTATAATGTAGTTTATCACATTCATTGGTTTGCAGATGTTGAACCATCCGCACCTCAGGGATAAATCCCACTTGATCAAGGTGTATGATCCTTTTACTGTGCTGCTTAATTTCGTTCAGAATCTTTGTATCTGGCTGAGTTCTGGTCACAATGGAAGCGTAGGTAAACATGCTTTGCCTTCTCGTACAACTATAGAAAAAGTTACAACCAGACCAAAACAAAAAACGCCCAGAAGCATCAGAAAATCGAGCTGTGTGAAAGTCTGGCAACCAAGGATTTAAAGACGCCGCATTCATCCAGACGGTCAGGAGGCGCGGAGACCTGGTGAGGCGGAGACCCCCGGAACAAGCCATCACACACTCCCGTGTGCGGGGTAACAATCAGGAGGGACGACACTGAGGCGCGGAGGGTCCCGTGCCCAGGCCAGACCACACGGTCCAGGGTTCCAGCACCAGAAAGATAAACCAGTGGGGTTCGGGTGGCAGAAGAACCGACTGGGTTCTCAGGAGACTCCACCTAAAGGGCCCACGTGGACTTACAACTTACGCAGACTCCCCCTCTGGGGTTCAGCACCAGGACAACAGCTGGAAGGGCACCGGTTACATCTGGGGACTGAGTGAAATGCCTGGAAATGGGGTGAGTGCCGGGCAAACCTCCACAAACCAGGCAGGAACGCGGTCTCCTCCCTGACCCTCCCCGCACTCAGCCTCAGAGCATCGAAGCAGACTGCCTGCCCCGGTGATCACCTAAGGCTCCACACCACACAGTTTACAGGTGCGTTTTCTGTAATAGGCTACGCTGCTGAGACAGGGAGGCTGCCAAGATGAGGAGACGAGGAAACATGGCCCAGATGAAAGAGCAGATTGAAACTCCAGAAACAGGACTGAATGAAATGGAGATGTCCAACCTATCAGATGCAGAGTTCAAAACACTGGTGATTGGGATGCTTGAAGAATTCACCGAGTACGTTAATAGCATAACGGAAGTCCCAGGCGGAAATGAAGGTTACACTAAGTGGAGTAAAGAAAACCTACAGGGAACCAACAACGGATGAAAGCGAGAGTCAAGTCAACGATCTGGACCATAAGGAAGAAATAAGCATTCGACCACGACAGCAAAAAGAGTTCAAAAAGCGAGGATAGTATAAGAAGCCTCTGGGACATCTCCAAACTTACCAACATCCGAGTCATAGGGGTTACCAAAAGGAGAAGAGGAAGAGCAAGAAACTGAAAACTTAGTTGAAAAAATAAAGAAAACTTCCCTAATTTGGTGAAGGAAATAGACATGCACGTCCAGGAAGCACAGGGAGTCCTGGAGCGGGACCCACACGAAGACACGTCACAATAAAAAATGCCGCAGGTTAAAGATAAAGAGAGAATCTTAAAAGCAGCAAGACAACAGAAGACAGTCACCTACAAAGGAGTCTCCATCAGACTGTCAGCTGACTTCTCAAAAGAGATCTTGCAGGCAAAGAGGCACTGGCAAGAGTATTCAACGTGATGAAAGGCAAGGACCTACTCTGTCCCACAGAGCTGTCGTTTAGAATGGAGGGCAGATAAAGTGCTTCCCAAACAAGGTAAAGCTAAAGGAGTTCATTGTCACCAAGCCATTATTGCATGAAATGTTAAAGGGACTTATTTAAGAAAAAGATCAAAACTATGAACATTAAAATGGCAACAAAGTTACAACTACCAACAACTGAAACTAAAAAACAAACTAAGCAACCAACCAGAGCAGGAACAGAATCATAGAGATGGAGACCATTGGAGGGTTATCCGCTGGGAGGGGGACAGAGGGGGAGAGGTGCAGGGACTAAGAAGCATTATCGGTAGGAACGAAGTAGGTGGGGGGGGGGGGGTGTTAAGAACAGTATAGGAAATGGAGAAGCCAGAGAATTTATATGCACGACCCGTGGACATGAACTAAGAGAGGAATTGCTGGAGGAATGGGGATACCAGTCCGGGACAAAGGGGGACAGGTTGGGACGACTGTAATAGCATAATCCATAAAGTATATTTGAAAAAGAAACTTTTCACATCTGTGTTGAGTCACCAGGGCTGTTTGCCCACAGTCTGCTCCCAGCGCCCTGTCTCCTTCAGTATCGGGATGGCGCTGGCCCTGCGGAAGGAGCCAACTCTGGGGACAGTTGCCTGCTCTTCCGTTTTTGGACCAGTTTGAGGAGGATGGGTGTGTACTCTCCTGAACTCACTGTGACGCCACCCGGTCCTAGGCTCTTCTGCACCGGTTCCACCCTCTTGTCTGCCATCGGTCCGTTTGGGTTTTCTGCTCCTTCGTGATTCAGTCGTGGTGGGTCCTGTGTTCCTGGGGACGCGTCCGTTTCTCCCAGGTTTTCCAGTTTGTCGGCGCACAGCCGTCCATGCGGCGCTGGGGACCCCTGCGTCTCGGAGGTGGCGGCCGCAGTGTCTCCTCTCTCATTTTTGATCTTACTTGTTCTCTTCTTGGTTAGTGTAGCTAAAGGTTCGTCGGTGTTGTTTCTTTTGAGAAAACCAGGTCTCAGTTCTGTCGCTCTTCTGCTCTTGCAGGTGTGTTCTGGGAAACACTACCATCTTGGCCGAGTTTGCTGGCGAAGAAGAAGTGAATCGCTTCTTGGCCCAGGGCCAAGCGCTGCCGCCCACCTCCAGCTGGCAGTCCAGCACCGGGACCGGCCAGGCGAGGCTGGGCGCCGCGGGCAGCTCCCACGGCCTGGTGCGGAGTGACGCCGGCCACTGGAGCGCCCCGTGCCTGGCCGGCAAAGGGAGCAGCGACCTGCTGTGGGGTGGGGTTCCCCAGTACTCCAGCAGCCTGTGGGGCCCGCCCAGCAGTGACGACGGCAGGGTCATTGGAAGCCCCACCCCGCTGAACACTCTGCTTCCGGGCGACCTTCTCAGTGGGGAGTCCATCTAGGACCTCGAGGACCCTGCGGGCGCCACAATCATCAGCACCAGGAAGGAACCCTGACCCTTTCCCGGCCGGGCGTCGCTGAGGACCCCACTCGAGCCAAGCAGCCCGGCCGCCCTTCCAAGTACCTCTGTCCAGTACTGAGGACGGACCTCGGCGCGGTCCTTGCGAACTGTCCCGAGACAGTGCGGGCTGCACCTGGTCGGCGTCCCTCGCCAATGACAGGACGTCCCTCATAGCTTTTCATTCTGTGTTGTCTCACGTTCGTGTGGCGTGTTGTCATTTTGATTTTTTAAGTATAAAAGCTGCTTAGAATAGTTCTATCATGAAGGGCACTTTTCAGATTGTGGGCTGGAAAGGGTTATTTTATCAAGGGGGGGAGGGAGGGAGGGACGAGAAAGCCTGTTTAAAGCGAGCCTGTGACATTATGCACACGGCAGAGGCGGACGAATCGGGGAGCCGAGCGGAAGGAACGTCTGCGTCTGTCCTCTGTCCCCACGGACCCGCCCATGCACATTACCCTTGTCTCATTCTTGTTCATGTCATTGTTTTTATCCCAAAAAATATTTTTTAAAAGTTAAAAAAAAGACATATCAAACATGCAAATACTTGAATCCAGCAGGCCATAATGAAATGTGAACACTTTCTAAGTCTAATTCTACACTTCCAGGTCGGCATCAGCACGCAGGAACAGGCTCCAGGAGAGATTTCTAAGTTCACAGCCTATGTGTGTGTGTGTGTGTGTGTGTCTCCAAACAAGCGAGTGTGTGCGCACGTGCGCACCTGTGTCCGTGCGTCCAGCGTGTGAGGGCCCTCACCGTGGGTCTCCCCTCTATTCAGTGTATGCTTTTCCTTGCGCGTCAGTCAGGCGTCTGTTGTTACTGGCTTCTAACTTTGCACTGAGTGTCCCCGCCCTTCCTCCCGCCGATCCGACACAGACAGGACTCGCAGGACAGGGCCGGCGGCAGTTCACGTGTAAATGTTTACTCAAGGACTCCGTTACCACGTCTAAAACGTACATTGTGTATCTCTGGAGAAATAATATGTGTACCTACCTTTAGCAGCTTTTTATTGCGGACTAATGCAAGAAAATTATCACCAGAGTATTGCACCATTTTTCCACTTGGAATATAAAGTTAAAGAGAAAAACTGTTGTTGAGCCGTGGCCATGGATACTGGTGGAGGGCGGACGGCTCCGCGGAGGAGCGGAAGTGAGCACTTGGACGTGGGTCGGGACTGCTTTCGGAGGGGCCCGTGGTGGGGGCTCCTGCCTGTTTACAGACCTTTTTTCTCCTTCAGACTTTAAAATAAAAAAATTTTAAAAAGGAATTTAAAAAAAAAAAAAGACTTCCGTCGTAAAGAAACCTATTTTCAGAACACAGATGCGCTACTTCAGAGCTCTGGGATCGAACAGTGTTGTGTCCCCTCCGGCCGGCGCCGCGGACCCCGCCGGCTGTCCCCCTTCGTCCCGGCGGCGAGGCGGCGTGGTCACTGTCTTGCACACGCGGCGCGCTCTCAGGAAAGCCAGGGTTCCCGAGGGGCGGCCCCACACCATTCATGTATTTTGTAACCCAACTCCTAGCACTGAAGAGGTTATTAAAAAACAAACAAAAAAAATAAATAAAAAGAGAAAAAAGAGGAAAAAAACACAAAGAAAAGTACCTAATCTCTAATGTGTAGCAGTTACATATTTACCAAATAATGGACTCAAAAGAAATAGATGTTTGAAGAGTGCTTTATATATTAAAAATTGCTTTATGTTTTAAAAAAGAATCAATGTTTTGATTGTTTTGCAAGAAAGAAAGACAATGGAGTAACATACCCTCAAGTATGTTTTAAAAAATATATATGAACCTGCGCTCCCTGCCTGCTCGGTCAGGAGACTTGTGCATTACGTTTTTTTTAATTAGCTTTTTAATGGTTTTATCAAGACAAAAAAGAAAAAGAAAAAACAAAAAAGAAGGAGGAGGAGGACCCGTAGAACTGCGGGCCCCCAGAAGCTGGTTTTCTAGAGGATCACGAACTATGCACACCTGGGTCCCAGACCCGTCCTCAAGTTCATGGTGCGTTTAGCTCACAGCCCTTCCTCGGAGCGGCCGCGTTCACGGCCGTCGCACGCACCCTCTGTATTTGATGTACGCGTACCTGCCGGTGTACATCAAGTATACGTGCGAGTGTGCGTGCTCGCGCGGCACACAGCTTCCCAGGCCGCCGTCAGTGGCGTTGAGTTGTAGAAAAACTGACGTTTGAAAATTGGGGATGGGAATAAAGAATCTGTTTTTGTTTTTTCTGTTGGGTTTTTTGTTTTTGTTTTCGTTTTTTGTTGGGTTTTTCTTTTTTCTTTTTTTTTTTTTTTTGACCTCATTTTGAATGGAAGATTTCTAACTCTGAGATTAAGAAACAAGTTTGTGGCTTTTAATGTTTTTCCTCATAGAATGTGATTGTTGAACACGCACCGAAAGTTGCTTTCAAAAGTACAACGCTCTGTTGAATCTTAATAAATTGCAATTTTTTTCTTGGCTGTTGAAATAAATGTGGTTTTTTTCTTTTTCAAAGGCATATGTCGATTTTCACGTTGTATGTATTGAGAGAATGTCGACCTGCTGAATGTAACAAACCCCCGCCTCTGTGGTGGCACCCTTACCATTTGTGTCATTAGCTGAACCCCAAGTTTCGATCGCCTGGCTTGTAACTTGACCGTCTGCGTGGTGGTTTTACAGTGAACATTGAAATCTCATCCCTAGTGGCCAAGAGCTGCGGCAGGGTGTCTGAGCTCTGGCCCCAGGTGATAACTGCCACTTCTGTGGGACTGTCCCCCGAACAGCAGCCCATGCCACAGGCCTGGCCTCCCCGTCATCATCCTGAAGACCGGAAACTCCTGCAAGCGGACTGTGTCTGTGGCCGCGGGCTGTGGACCCCACTCAGCACCTGCGACCCCAGCCTGGGCATCAGAAACCTGGGGAGAGGAGAGCGTGGTGGCGGTCCTCTGTTTCCTAGACATCTGCACTGTCACCGTGGTCTTTCAGGTGGCAGTCCGAACTCGCAATGCTCTGGTTCTCTTGGGCTCACCCGGAACTCTGACCAGCAGCTGAGGTCCAGGGCCAGGCTTGTGCTCTGGCAGGAATGCAAAGCCAGCCTCTGGGAGACCGTCCTCTGTGGCTCCTTGCTCAGAGACCAGCAGGCCTGTCTCTTGTCCCCGCTCCTGTGCCTGAGTCCTTGCTTCGTCAAGAATACAGGACCTGGTCGCACTGCAGCGTGGTGGCGAGCCGCTGGCTCTAGAAAGTTGAGAAGAAGAGCACCGCGTGGGTTGTGATCGGCAGGGAAAGTGAGAGACCAGAGGAGGGGCGACCAAGGCCAGACCACGACCCTGACCATCTGAAGCAGCGTGAGCCTGGAGGCAGCAGCGGCTGGGGCCTGCGTGCGGCTACCATGGGCGCAGGCTGCCAGCGCCCAGCTCTGGAAAACCAGCTTCACCGAGGTGGCAGGCAGGCAGCACAGCACTGGGGCGAGGGCATCAGGCCTGGGCGGCCGGGTGGGGTTTTGACCGACTAGGAGAGGCGAGGGAATCAAGAAAACGGTAGGTTCAGAGCAGCATTTCTAATCGCTCTGGCAGCACCGTGGGGAACGGCAGGGGGGGGGAGCAGGGGGCTCCGTGGTGGTGGAGTGAGTGCATAGGAAGTCCTGTTCCCCGAGAGGCAGAAAGGACAGGTGATTCCGGTGACACAGGAGACACCCTTGAGCTGCTGAGGAGCTGAGCTCGCATTGGCCAAAAAGGCGGAGACCCTAGGCACTTTGGGAAGAATCCGCAGGCATATGCCACATTCAGGACGGATCACAGACGCCGGCTCCTGGTGGGAGCATAGATAGCGAAACAGCCTCACCCGCTGGGTCCTCGGCACAAGCGCCGTTGCCAGGCTCTGCTTGGGTGCAACTGTCCCCGAACGGCAGCCCAAGTGGCCAGCACCCGGACCTTGTGAAAACAGTTCACCGGAGCCCACGGTGTCAACTTGGGCCAAAACAGCTGTCAACCTCCGCACATCGAAACGCCAGGCCCCTGTGGTTCACTCAGTCTCATTCGGCAAGTATAGGAAGCCCTCGGGTTTGACTCTTGTAGCAAACCTGCACCATGCGTGGCGCTGAGCTCTGTGTGGGGGCTGTGGCCCGTGCTCCACTGGCTCCTAAGGGTCAGAGCCCAGGCCCAGGGGCCGCTGGACCATCCTTCAGTCGGGCCCCCTGGGGCTGCCTCCTCCCCGCACGCACGTGGCACGCGTCAAGGGCAGCCCCGAGGCGAATTCCTCCTGAAGACTCAGTTTTGCTCAGTCTTTCAGGTGATTGGGTGAGGTCCACCCTGTCAGCGGAGGTTGTCTCCTTAAAGTCACTCAAATGAGCTGCAAAGTCCCAGCACAGGGGCACCTCGAATAGTGCTGGAGGAAGCAGCTGGCATCACTTCCTGGGCAGGCCTGTCCCCGTGGGTTGTAACTGACAGTGACTCCATGTCAGCCTGGAAGTGGTCACCTGGTGTCCGTCACTGGAAGGAGGCATCTGGCCAGGTTTGGCCCAGACACCGAGGTCAGCCACGCTCTCTCCGGACCGCCCGCCCAGGGCCCCCCAGCAGCGCTCGTGCACAGAGCCTCTGCCCACCCAGCGCCCACCGCTGGCAGGGGTCCCTAAGATCGGCCACACACCCAGGATCCTGACACGTCATGCACACCGAGGCTGCCGTCCCCTGACCTCAGTAGGGTCAGGCTGACACCAGGTGAGCTTCCAGCTGCATCGACACATGGCATGTGCCTGGACGCGTGCCGGACACGCAGTGCCTCCACCCCAGCTCCTGCAGCCTCGGGGCCCTGCGGCTGTGACCCCCTGGGCACACAGCCTGCCACAGGCTCCTCAGTCAGCCTGGCGGGACCTGCGTCCACCCCTCCTGCCCCAGCCTGGGCCCTGGCTGCCCCTCTGCCTGGGCGGCACCTCTCCCCACAGCTCTTTTCCGACTGAAATGTCACCCCAGCCCCTCCCTAAATGTGCCTCCGCCCCAATAACCACGAAAGCTTCCTCGCTGCTGGCTCTGTCACCCTGGACACACATGCCCCCAGGGTGGTTCCTGCAGGCTTGGGTCATCCCCAGGCTCTCGCTGATCAGGTGGTGCTCAAGCTGGGATGCATCGGTCCTGCCATCTGGAGCTTGGCCAGCAGAGGGCGCTCTGTGCTGCGTGACGGAGCCCAGTTTGTCGCTATTGGAACAACAGCCCAGCATGTGGAGTGGCCCCACAGAGAACCTGGACACTGGATGAGGCTGCTAAGGGCCCTTGTGTGACAAGAGAGGAACCCCAAAGAGCCAGTAAGGGGAGGAGTTGAAGGGGCAGCATGCAGTCCCTAGGGCAGTGGGAGGCAGGCCCACCCAGGCACAAACACAGGCTCCCATGAGATAGGCCCATTTTGCAAAACATGTTTAATCAGAATAAATAGAGTACCAGGCAGGGTGCGGTCCCCTGGGGGCACCCCAGCCCCACTGTGGACTCTCTGACTCCAGCCTTGGACAGGCTGCAGAGTCCTGTCACCTGGCCCGTGATGTCCCAGCAGGGTCACCAGAGAAGCCAGCACAGTCTCAGGTTGGGGTCTGCGTCTGCAGAGCTGTGGGAACCGAGCCGAGACCGTGAGCAGAGGCAGGGCTGCTGGGCCCCGAGCTGTCCTGCCAGGGGTCCCAATTGTCTGCATCCATGGCCGGGGGTGTCGCAGCTGCCTGGGTCCTACCAGCCCTGCCAGAAAGGGAAGTCAGCCAGCAGCTGCTGAGGCCCCCAGAGCCTGGCCGGGGCAGGACACCCAGAGCTTCCTCCCAGCGTTGAGAAGTGAAGGGCTTGATGGAGGGTGACGTTGGTCCTGCAGACATGAGCCCCGCCCCTGGCCAGGTCTGTCTGTCTGTCTACGCAGCAGGAAAGTGAACTCATCTCCCTTCCCCTGGGCTTTAGCACAAGTGACGGGGATGAAGGGTGAGAGGCGGGCTCCCTCCTGCAGGCCCCGGGCCACCAAGGCTGAACCTCCAAGTTTCGGGTGTGGCCCCCAGGGAGGACGGGGGCCAGGGCAATTCGGACTGGCAATTCAGACTGCCACCTCGGCTGTCCCCTGACTTACAAAGAAGGGGAGGGGGTGGGGAAGAGAGGAGGGAAAGGGCATGAGGAGCCCAGCCCCACCCTTCCCCCTGCACCCTGCTCTTTCACTTCTGTTTTTTTCTTTCTCACCAAACTTGACCATTTTCCTCTTCCCTCGAGTGCCCCACTCACCTGGTGAGGGAAGTGGGGAAGGCGGGCAGAGCAGCTCGGAGAGGCTGAGAGCCCCCCAGGGAGCCAGCAGCCACCGCCCTCCCACCCCCGACTTCACATGGAGTGGCCCCACCTGCCCAAAGCCCCTCACCTGCTCCTGTCCTTCCTCTCGCAGACAGAGTGAATCTTGTTGATTAAGAAGATTTTGTCCTCCCCCTCCTAGAAACACCAGAACACAAAAGCTAAGAGATCAGAAGAGCTGTCCTTATACCCTGAACCACCCTGTTCCAGACGGCTCCTGGGGACACTCCAGGGAGTGTGCAGTGTCACAGGCGAAAAAAGTTTAAAGAAGAGGGAAAGAGGCACCCACTCTGGAACAACCTAGCGCCAGGCTGTGGACGTCTGTGCATGTCTAGGCTTCCCAGTGGCCAAGGTGAAAAGGGAAAGGGGACCTGCTGCCTAGTGCGGGGCCAGAGCCAGCCTGACAATCTAAAACTGGCCCCCCCATACCAGTGCTGCCTGTGCAGCTCTGTCCTCCCTACGTTTGTAACGGGGGGGATGAGAATGTCTGAGTCAAGGGGCTTGTGTAAGTTCCTGCTGTCACTCCAACCAATTGCTACAAACTCCTAGTGGCTGAAACAGCAGAAATTTATCCCCTTTCGTTCGGGAGGTCAGGGATCCAAAACAGGCCTCACTGGGTTCCTGGAACAGATCCTCCTGGAAGCCCCAGGACAGAACTCTGCCCCTGCGCCTCCCAGAGGCCGCTGCTCCCCTTGGCCCACAGCCTCCCAGCTGCAGAGCCAGCGATAGCCGGCCGGGCCTGGGGACGGCGTGGGAGAACCCGGGGCTCTTGTCAAAGCTGAACATGAACAGCAGAGACCTGCTGCCCCATGTTCACTGAGCGGCCAGCCCAGACCAGGCAGGAGGGACGGGGGTGCAAGGCCGCAGTCCAGCTTCACACTTGCACTGCGAATCACCGGCCAAGGACCGGGTGGAGACGGGGGCTGGTGGAGACGGCACCTGCGGGGCAGGGGCTTCCCCGATTCCTGGCCCACCTGCCTCTCCCTCTTCAGTGGCAAACTGCCCGGAGCTTAATAAGGATGGTTTGATCCTGACCCTCTTTTAATCATTTGCAAGATGAGACTGCTGAACAGGGTCCGGGTTTCCACCTGGGTCCCCGGGTGGTCCCAAAGCCACTTGCAGGGTCTCAGAAATCCTCACAGAGACTGTCCACACCCACACGGGTCCCCACCCCGAAACGCCGCCTTTCTCCTGTGCGGCTGGCTGGAGTCAGGTGTTCTGGGCCCGGGGGCCCTGCTGCCTCGTGTCTGCCTCTCCGCTTAGTGCAAACTCCATTATCTTCAATGGCATAATCTGTTTGGCAACCAAATCCTTTCAACAGCCCAGGTTGGGGGGCCTTGGGGCGAGCTCGCGGGTGGCCCCTGGGTGGGGACAGTGAGAGGGGCACTCACGTTGCTGATCTGCTCCTTGAGGAGGCTGATGACCTTCCGCTGGCCCTTCACCACCTGGATGTTGAGGTAGATCATGGCCCTGCCAGGGATGGGCCGGGAGACAGCCGGTGGTCAGGCTGGGCCGCTGCAGGAGCCGGGGTGGAGGGGGGCTGCAGGGTGGGGGCCCTCCCCCGCCCACCCCCTGCCCACACTCACAGCAGCAGGGCCGACACCAGGTAGACAGGGAAGGTGTTTTCCACCAGGTACCGGTGGACCCAGGACAGCCAGGAGACCCTGGGGCCTGCCCTCTCCAGGCGGTGCACCCACACCTTGCCGGCCTCATACATGGTATCCAGGGTCCGGAAGGGCCCGCAGAGGTCCGAGGGCTTCACCCTGCAGGGCAAGGGTGGCCTGAGCCGTCGGCCGGGCAGAAGCAGCCTCCCTGTCACCCCAAACCGTGGCCACCAGCCGCAGCCCGCGGGGTCTCCGGGCTGCACCTCCCCGCACCCTGGGGGCACCCACCGGGCCCAAGGCCGGCGCCCACTCACTGCCAGGTGGCGTAGCAGAGGAAGATGGCAGCGCCCAGGAAGGAGGGGAAGCAGAGCAGCGAGATGAAGACGGTGCTCATGTGAGACGCCAGCCAGGGCCTGCGGGGTGCCTGGCAGTTGGCCATCAGGCTGGTCTGGGGACAAAGGCTGCGTTCTGCCACCACCCAGCCACACTCCTTTCCCCAGGACCCCCAAGGGAAGAGTGGTGAGGCCTGAGTGGGACCCCAGGACAGGGCGGGCAACAGAGAGGCAAACACTCGAATCTCAGCCCAAGGCTCAGGAAGCACCAGCCACACCCCATTTACAGAGGGGAGACCGAGGCACGTGGGGACGGCTTGTCTGGGGTCACTTGTATGCAGCCACCTCCACGGATCCAAGGTCTGCTGGGCCAGCGTTTTATGAACGCCATCTCCGGCTGTCCCCCAGGGATACTGTCCCCACTGCTCAGATAAAGAAATGGAGGGCCAAGAGAATGGAATGGCCTGTTCTCACCACCAAGCACTCTGGCCCGAGGACACAGGACCGAGGCCACTTCCCACTGCCAGTGGGCCTGGGGCTCAGAGTGACCCCTGGGGCACATGGCACCCAGTCATGACCCCGGGCCCAGAGGGGCGCTGCCCAGCCTGCCAAAGGCAGTGATGCTGGCGGAGGGGCCATGGCAATGACCCGAAGAGTGGCCCCAGGCTGCCAGCCCCACACCACGTGGGTCAGAGGAATGGTCCCAAGTCCCAGAACTCTGAGGCTGCCGGCCGAGCGGCCCGCCCAGGCCCCCCACGCCCCCGTGGCCTGCTGCCCTCCCGGGACCCAGCCACCACCTCTACCTTCTTGACATAGAAGAGCAGCAACAGCTTGATGACCTGCACTGCGGGCAGGAGGGGCGAGAAGAGGACCCCCAGCCTAGGGAGGGGAGGAGGGGGAGCTGCGGGCCAGGGGCCAGGGCCAGCGGGGTGAGAACAGCCTGCCCAAGCCCTCGCCTGCCCCCAACCCCAGGCCAGGAAGGACGCAGCACCACGGGCCACAGACTGGGTGCCCCGGGAGGGGCGGGGTCAGGGCCCAGGCTGCCCCAGCATCCCAGCGCTGGGCCTTGCCTGGTCCCGAAGGCAAAGGGGTGCGGCCACCCCGGGGGGGGGCAGTGGGGGGGACTGGAGGATGCTCACCAGGTCAGGGTCTGCCCGTAGATCAGCTCCAGAACGTTCCGGGCAATGTCAAACTCAGGCTTTCCCCTCCTGAGCTGCTTCTCAGAGATGAGCCTGGGGCGGAGGAGCTGCAGGGTCACCCGGGGGGGCCGATCCCGGGGACCAACCCCGTCCCTACCCCTGGAGGAGGGCACCCAGAGGGTGAGCCGCAGGCCAAGGGCACCCGGCCCATGTCCAGGGGACAGGGCACCTTGGGGTCCCTGCGCTGAGGGTCTCCAAGCCCCAGCTGGCTTCATCTCCGTCCTTTTCCTGAGTACAAACAGATACCACCCCCACCCCAAGCACAAACACGCACAACTGGCATCACGCGTTGCACATCTACGTTATTACCACGTTCACATGTTCTCCAAGAAAACATAAAAAGGCGGGAAGAGCGAGCGCCTGCCCCGCGGCCGGCGAGGCACTTCCAAACGCCCGCGCCTCCCTGCCCTTCCCCCCGCGCACCGCACTGAGGCTGCGGCGCGCCCCGGGGTCCGTCTGTTCTTCCCGCCTAAGAATAGGTTACACCCCACCTGTGTTTCCCAGGTTCACCATCTTTTCCGAAAGCTGTCTAGGGTGGAGACGTCCAGCCCGTCGCAGGGAGATCAGAGGCCAGAGAACCTCCCAGGGGGCCCGGCCCCGCCGCGCAGGTGAGGATGGGCGCCTGCGGGTGGAGGCCCCACCCCCCAGGAGCCCAGGGGGCGGGGCCTCTCACCTCCACACCAGCTCCCCGAAGAGCGTGTCCAGCAGCGTGAAGAGGAAGTCTGTCACCACGAGGCGGTACAGCTCTTGGCCCACGAAGTTCTCCCAGCACTGCAAGCCACAGGCTCAGCCCTGGGGCCGCAGGGGTCCCCGCTCGCCCGCTGGCCCACGCAGCCCGCCTGGGGCCTCCAGCCTGCCTGCAGGCCCGGCCCCGGAAGGCTGGGAAGCAGCGCTGCAGTGCGGGGCCACCCCCGCCCCCGCCCCCGCCCCGACCAGCGCAGCCCCTCACTCCCCCAGCGCCACCCAGACCCCCGCTCACCTGGTCCTTCAGGGCGCCCACCCTGCGGCCCAGCCAGTGGTAGCAAAGAATCCCCAAGACGACCATCTTGAGGATGAGGTTCCTGCGGAGGGCGAGGGGCCCGCACGCTGAGGGAGGGGCGCCTGGGGGGCAGAGGGCGCACCCCGGGAAGCCCCGCCTGCTCCACCGGGCCCTTACCTGCAGATGGCCACGTACACCTCCATCACAGGGGAGTCCTGCCGCTCCAGGACGGCCAGCCCCCGGTACAGGTAGGGCGCCGCCAGGTTCAGGAGGCCGACCACGAAGGGCAGGCCCAGCAGCGCCCCCTCTCGCTCTGCAGACACTGGGCTCTGCCGGGGCAGAGGGAGGGGCGGTGGTCACCGCAGGCGCCCCATCCAGGGGCCGGGGCCGGGTCCCCTGGTGGCCTGGGGGTGGGGGGCTGTGGGGCGGGGTCCCGCAGCGGAAGGAGGGGGTGGAACAGGCCGGCCGCAGTTCCCCTGAGATACATCTACCCCGGGCCTCCTGTTGAAACCGCACAGGAAGGGGGGTGGGTCACAGGCGTCGGAAAAAGAAAAGTCAGACCAGCAGAGGAGAAAACAAGAGGAAAGAAAATGGGGAAGGGCGTGAGGAGGGCGAGAGAAAGGAGGCCCTGAGGGTGGGGGCGGGGGCTGTGTGCATGGCGGTGGCTGGGGACTGGGTCCGGAGCAGCGGGACTCTGGTCCCACGGCCAGAGCCCCCGGGCCCACCCGCCCTGTCCTGGCACCTTGATCGTGAACTCAGAGAAGGCGTAAACGGCCACGGTGCACCCGAGCGTGGTCCCCAGACACAGCAGCCACGCGAGCGCCAGCACAGCCGCCCGGCGCAGCCGTCCACACAGGCCCCTGGGGCGGCGCTGCAGCTGCCACTCAGCCAGCAGCTCCTGTAGAACGGCAGGTCGGCCTGGAGGGGCGCTCGGGAGGGTGTACTGGTGCGGGGGATAGAGGGGCCAAGGGGCCCCTCCCGCCCCCAAAACCACCGCTTGCCCCTCCCCCAGCTCTGAGGCCTGTCTCCACACAGAGAGCACAGACCTCGGACCCAAGGCTGAGCCCTGCCCTCGGTCCCCACCCACCCTGTGGGTCCCCCTGCCTCCTGACTCGAAGCTCCTGTTGCATCGTGAGGCCAACCTACCCTCTCCCACCTCCCGAGCTGCCCTGCGGCTTGTGACGCAGCCCCCATGGGAGCCCCCCCATGCCAGTCCTGCAGCACAAGCCCCACCCAGAAAGGCGGTGATGTTTCCAGCTCTGCTGCCCTGCCGCCCTGGGCCTTGGACAAGGGCCTGGTCCTCTGGGCCTCAGTCTCCTCTGTCGATCCTAGGCTGGCCGATGGCCCTGGGCTACTGTGATGAGCCGGGAGTGCGGCCCAGCAGGGGCCCCTAGGGCCTGTTCTGGCCAGGGACCGAGGACACTGGGACCCCAGAACAAACCTAACCCTCTCACTCTGGAGTGCCAGCCCCTGGTTCTGCAGCCCAGAGCCGGGGTTGGGGGGTGGACACACTGAGTCCCCACAGGACGGAGGGCAGGCTGCCGTCACAGGTCACCCCTGAGCGCGCACGCCCACCAAAGCCCACTGGGGCAAAGTTTCCCGTTGACTTGGCTCCTGCGTGTCTGAGGGCTGTGGGCACTAACAGCTGCCCGCAGGCAAGAGGCAGCCCCAAACGAGGGGCGTGGACAGGCACAGACCCGCGAGCATCTGAGTGCTCACTCCAGTCTCTGGGACTGGGAAGCGGTGGCCAGGTCACTGAGAGCAAGGCGACACCCCCACACCCCACGTGCAGCCCACACACAGCACCTCTCTGGCTGTCCCGCCCTGAAGGGCCCGCAGGCCAGTCTTGGGAGCCGAGTGGGCTGGGACTGGTGCCCCGGATCAGGGTGGGGCAGGGGCCCTCGGGCAGGCTCACCTTCAGCTGCGTCCGGATGTTGTCATGTTGCAGGCGGGAGGCCCTTCTCTGAGTCACCTTGTGGTCCCAGGAGCAGAAGACAGTGACGGCATGGGCCCCGGAGGCACTGCCGACTCGGTAGCTCTCCCCGAAGGAGCGGGACATGCTGTGGCACACAGAGCCAGGGAGGGGGGGCAACCATGAGGGCGAGGGGGCAGGGGCCGGGGAGACCACAGCAGGATGGTAGCCAGATCCCACCGTACCCTGGGAGGAGCCCTGCTGGCCCTGGCCCAGCCCGCCACTGCCCCACCCCTCCAGCCCAGCCCCTGGCCTCCTGGTGGGGGCCTTCCGTCACTCTGCGTCAGCCCTGCCCAAAGGCAGTGCCCACCAGCCACAGCAGGTGGAAAAGGGGTCAGGCTCCATTCCCCACTGACAGGCCAGCCGCTCCTGGTCGAACATGGCTGAAGGAGATGCTGCTCACCTCAGGACCTGTGCACTGCCTCCCAATACCCAGTACGCCTTCCCCCTCTTCCCTGCCCATTCCTATTTAACTGCCCCCTCTGAGGCAAGTGCCACCTCTCCTTGGAAGCCAGCCTGACTCCTCCCCCAGTGCTCCCTTGGGTGTGTGCCCCACTCCCGGCCACACACCCAAGCCTCCTCACTGGCCCGCCTTCTCCCCCAGAGGGCAAGCTCCTTAAGGGCAGGCACCAGGCGCATCCACCTTCTTGCCCTGAATTAAGCACAGAGAATGCTTATGGGGTAGATAGGTTGTGACTGCAAGTGTGGGAGGGAGGTCCATGGGTGGGTGGTTGAATGAGTGGGTAGCTGGATAAATGAAAGGATGGAGTGATGGATAATATAATGATGGAGGGGGATGGATGGGTGGATGGATGGGTGGGTGGGTGGGTGGGTGGATGGATGGGTGGATGGATGGATGGATGGATGGATGGATGGATGGATGGATGGATAAGTGGATGGGTGGATGGATGGGTGGGTGGATGGGTGGATGGATGAGTGATGGGTGGATGGATGGATGGACAGATGGGTGGATGGGTGGATAAATCAGTGGTGCTACAAGTCGGGTCCACAGGGGGAGGGCCATTACCTGTACACCAGGGTGATGCAGGTGATAAAGAAGGCGGCACCCACAGTGAAGAGGTAGGCCAGGGGCATGCTGTAGGGCAGGCTGGCTGCCTCAGGGGCGCACTGGTCGCCATCCCGTTGGCTGGCGCATGGCCGGTTCAGGGTAACATTACTGTAGTAGCCGTAGTACATGACGGTGTCAGTGAAGCGGCCCTACAGGGAGGAAACCCGGCCACATCAGGGACTCTCTCCCTTCCCCACACCTGACGCCCCCTCAGACTCCAAGCGGTGGAGGGTGGGTGCCCAAGGGGGCGGGCCAGAGCAGGGCCAGCAAGGAGGCACAGAGGCAGACAGAGGCCGAAGCCGTCCTGGTCTTCCCAGGCCCCACTGACATGGGACGACAAGGGGAGCTGACTGTGGCCCACCAGGAGTCACCTCGCTGGGTGAGGGTGGGGTCCCCCCAGGGGAGGCTGGGACAAGAGGGCGCCCCGCCCCACCAAGCCCTCACCCCACCAGTGAGAAGCTCCAGGCCGGTGAAGGTGGGGACGGGGCCCCGGGGCGCAGGCGGGAAGGCGGCCTGCACGCCGACCACGAAGGCCAGCAGGGGGAGCAGCAGCAGCACGTTGAAGGCCAGCAGGGTCTTGAGGAACAGGAAGTAGGACAGCGCGCTGGAGCCGAACTGGCCCCCGATCTGCTTCAGGGTATAGTGCCAGGGCGCCAGGCCGCGGAGCCCCAGCAGCAGCCCGGGCCCCAGGTGGTGCAAGGCCTGCGGGGACAGCCACAGAGGTGAGGCCGGGGCTGGCCAGAGTGGAGGTACAGGGGCAGTGGTGGGGGCGCAGCTAGACGGAGGCCAGGGCACCCCACAGGCAGGACCAACGGCCACCCCCAGCCACCGGGCCACCCAGCCCCATCCCCAGTGGCAGGCCAGCCTGGGGGCTCCTACCGGGACTCGGGCGTATGGGAACCGGCTGCAGCAGGAAGGGAACCTGGGACGGCCCCGCTGCTTGCCCCTCGGGGTCCGGGTCTCCTCTCTGTGGACAGAGGTAGCATCGGGCCTGGACCGGGACAGGACCCAACTCCCTCCTGGTGGCCACCCCCCTTTCCAACAGGCTCACGGCCCTTCTCGCCCACCGCCAGCCAGGAGGGTGGACACTGACCGCAGGCGGCGTTTCTCAGCCAGGCCAAGGGGCATGCCCCGGAGCATGTGGTCCCGCTGGGCCAGAGTCAGGCCCTGCAGCTCCTTCACCAGGAGGGCCCGCTTCTCTGCCAGAACAGAACCAGGAAGCCCTGCTGGTTCCCCTGAAAAAGCCTCCCTCCCTCCCTCCCGGGCAGGCCCCCCTGCTGCCCGCCCCACCCCAGACCCCTCCCCACCTGCCTCACAGGCCACCCCATAAACCCTCTTCGTTAAGTTCTCGGCATCCTCCCAGTACCCCCTCTCCTGAACCCACACCTTCCTCCTGGCCCCCCACAAGCACCTCACTCTGACCACCACTGACCTGAGAGCCCCACCCGCCCAACCAGCAGATACTGCACAAGAACTGGGGTGCTCACTCCCCTCACCTCCCACCCTGGGGGGAAGCTACAGATAAGAAATGGCACCTGGCCTGGTTTGCAGAGTAAAATTGGAACAGTCCCCTTGATCGTAGAGCCCTGACCCCCCTCCACTGCTCTGTCCTCCCCAGCGGGGCCCTTGGGTAAACCGTGGGGGGAAACAGGGGCAAGGCCCCAAGGGGGTACCCAAGGCCTGGGGGTCAGAGTCCAAGGGGCACAGCCAGGCATGTCCCCACCTCAGGGCCCTTGCACATGCCCTCTCTAGTGTCACCTCCTCCAGGAAGCCTCCCTGGAGCCCTCTAGGCTAGACAGTTTCAGGATGGTCTCCGGAAGATCACCTTCCCTCTGTTGCCCTCATCTGAGCCTTAACTGCCTGCTTCTCCGTGGACTCGGGGACCACTCTGTTTCACCGGGCAGACGATCGTCTGGTCTGCCCAGCTGCGTCACAGCCCAGAGCTCATCAGACGGTGAGGGGCACGTGAACAAACGTTTCTGGGGGTCTGCCAGCCAGAGCCAAACCCTTTGCAGCCTGAAAGGCCGGCACGTCTCTGCCCCAGTGGCAGGTGCACAGCCCCAACTAGGTGAGCCCACCGCCAGGGCAGGGGTCCCTGGGTCTGCTGCCCCCAGCCCCCACCCTGGCCAGCCCCACCTGCCCCCTCACTCACCCTCCTCCTCAAGGGCCGTAGAGTCCAGCTCCAGGTCGTACAGGCGGAGGCTGGGCCGGGCCGAGTGCCCCAGGTCGCCGAGCGGCGGCCGGCTGGCCCGGCGCCGCAGCTGCACGGTGCGATTGTAGAACTGGGAGATGATGGCGCCATGGCTGCGGCCTGCAGAAGCCCGGGCAGGTCAGCGCTGGCCTGGCCTGGACGCCCACTCTCACAGGAAGGCAGCGCCACCCCCGCCCCTCCCAGCACCCAGGAAGTCCTTTTATGAGAGACCTCAGATGCTGCTGGGTTCCCAGCAGCCTATTTTTATCCCTCTGACGACCCTGGAGTCGTTTTTACCAGGACCGAGGCTGCATGGGACTGCGCTGGGCCTCCGCCGGCCGCAGACGGGGTGGGGCGGGAGCCGAAAGGGCCTGGCCCTGAGGGACACGGGTCCCCTGGAGAACCCGGCCGGGCCTGGGGAGCAGGGGCTGGGGTCAACACCAGGACCGAGGGCACAGGGTCCCACTCACTCACCAATGGTGCGACTGGGCATGCTGGCCAAGATGCGGAGCGTGGCTGCACTGTGGACAGCTGCGTCCTCGGGCCCCAGGAGGGCCTGGCGGTCACTGCCTAGCAAGCAGAAGGACTTGTCCAGAGAGCCTGGAGATGCTGCCGGCCAGCAGTTCCCCCACTCCATCCCCGCCCCCGCTTGCCAGGCTGCCAGGTAGGATATCCGAGAGGCTGAGGGGGCTGAGGGCCTGGCCAGGTGGCGGGCTGGGCCGGTGGGCTCACCTGCGGCCCCCAGGGTCTCGGCCCCCAGGGTCCCGGCCCCCAGGCCCAGGGGCTGCAGCTCCAGCCCCTCCTCGGCCGCCCTCTGGCTCTGCTCCCGGATCAGCTGGTGGAAGGAGTGGTGCACCTCGCTCTCATCGTCGGGGCTGGGCTCCCAGCTGCTGCCGTGAGAAGCAGGGGGTGGGAGGCCCAGCTCGGGCTGACCAGTCCTCGCCCCTGCAGCCTGCCCCTTCCCAAAGGCCATGGTCCACACGGCCTCTCCTGTGGACGGTACGTCCCTGCCCACAACCCCACAGTTCCAGAGCACTTACCCCTGGTCCTCTGGGGTCTCAGAGACATCGAGGACAAAGGCCATGTCTGCTGCCCCCGCCTCGCCCGCAGCAGCTCAGAGCCTGGCCGCCAGCAGCCTTGGAAGCCTCCTGCTGTCCAGCTGATGAGAGGAGAGGGCTGCCCTGCCCTTGGCCTTGGCTCCCTGGGGACTGTGGGAGGGGCCACTCACTGCCCAGGCTGCCCTAGCCCCTGCCCTGCCCCCACCCACAAAAACTGCAAGGTCAAGTGAGCGCCCCCAATGAACTCACTCCAGAGTGGACTGAAGGACGGCCCCTTCTAGAGTGCAGGGCGAGCAGGGGGGCTGCACGTGTTGTGGGGGGCAGTGCGGGACAGAGGAAGGAAGGGCGGTCTGCGCCGGTTTGCTTGAAGGTCCCAGGCCCTGGGAAATAGGGAAGGGGCGGGGTGCTGTGGACACAGCCCTCCAGCCCTAGGGTTCTGCCCCAGGGACGCTGCCCTCCTGAGGGGAAAGGTCAGGGCAGCTCCTGAGACCTCCCCATAACCCTGCAGAACTTCCTCTCACAGGAAATCCTCACCACCCCACCCCCCCACCAGTCCGGGCCCAAGGGGATGACTTGCCTCCAGCTGGGCCCCCCACCCAGCCAGCATTCCCCCCGGCATGCGCACACGCGTGCGCGCGCACACACACACACACACACAGCAGTCACTGCGCCCCCGCCTGCAACCAAGCAGCTCTCCGGAGACTGGCCCTCCACTCGGCCACCCAGGGCCAGTGGGCTGGGCAGCCGGCGGGGGAGGGGCATGAAACAGACGGCCTTTGTCTGCCTTTGTCCGGGCAGAGGGCTCGGCCGTCCCTGGGACAACTGGGACCAGGGCAGCCTTGTCTGGGCTCCTCACCCGCTCCCCGTGGGAGTGGGGCGGGGGTAGCAAGCTCCCAGCCGCCAGCGGAGGCCTGCAGGGCCCTGCCCCATCACCCAGGCCCGGCCAGGGTCAGTCCTGCCCCCTCCTTCCTCTCCTCGCAACCCCCCCTCCCCAGCACTCAGGAGACTTGACTCATCCCAGGGGGCTTCCTGGGTGAGACCCGGGTGCCCAGGCAGAACAGGTCCTGCGAGGGCTGTGCCCGCCTGTGTCCCCCTCACTTGGGGGCACCCAGGAAGTCCAGTCTCTGAGCCCGGGACCCCGGGCACCCCAAGCCTCTTCCCCACTCCAGTGGGAGCACAGCATGGGGAAACCAGCAGAGAGGGTTCGGACTGGGGTGCAGAGCTGCTGCAGGGTGCTCACGGGTGCTTCCCAGTCCAGTCCCTGGAGCCGGAACCCTGCAGACGGCCTGTCCCAAGCCCTGATCCACCGGCACCCAGACACGCCCCTTCTCCACACAGGTTGTGGGGGTGGGAGGGACAGGGAGACAGGAGGTGGCCCCACTGCCTCCCCGCCCCCCCCCAGGATGTGTCTCTCCTGGGCCCACCTGGGCACCGTGCAGGACTCACTTCCGCCTGGCACCTGGCGGGCGCCCTGGCCCTTATTTCAGGTCGGCACAGGTCTCCTGAGTTTCCGGGCACACCATTCCTGAGCCCTGAGCCAGGTAGGGAGGGGTGGGGCGGGGCCCTTTCTGGCAACCCCAACCCAGCAGCAAGTCTGCGGAGAGCAGCTGAGCCTCCTCACCCAGGGCCTGAGCAGCCCAGGAGCCCCTCGGCCCAGGCGGCCACCCTCCCCTCCCTGCGGGCGGTGGGCGGTACTGGCCTGTGAAGCCCTGCCTCCTCCCCCCCCCCCAGACCCCGGCTCACACCATCGCCCCCTTCTGGGTGCTGCCTGCCAGCTGGAGCGGGCTGGGGGTTCCAGTTCCCCAGCCCCCATCCCTCCTGAGAAAGTCAAAAGTCGGGACACCCAGGCGAATCCGAGGAGATAACGTGGGAGGGGGGGCGGCTCATGACCCAGTGGCCCCAGGGGCCCGAAGGAATTTGGACAGCCCAGCCACCAGGGACCACTGGGGCTGGGAGGACGGGGGCACCTCCCCCAGGCCCCAGATCGGGGCACTTACCTGGGAGGCATCAGGGAGGAGGGGCCCTGTCCCAGACGGGGCTGCCGGGTCCCGAAGCTGGGTTTCCACCACCTGGGGGAGGGACCTCGGGGTCAAGGGGAGGAAGCCTCCCAGGGCCAAGGGAAGGACCTGGGCCAGAGGGAGCTGCACCGCCCAGCGGGGTCCACGTGGTGGCATCACGTGACCTGGCTTGGCCCAGGGGTGAACCCCACCCCTGCCCTGGGCTCCTCTGGCAGCTGTGCCCTCCCCTGCCAACTTCGACCCCTCCTCGAGCCCCACCCTGAGGTCTGGGCAGGCTGAAGGCCCGACTGTCGGTGTTTATTCCAGTCTCTGGGTGGAGCCCCCATTTCTACAGGACTGTGTTCCCAAATTTCAAATGGGGACAATAACTGCAAACCCACCCACTTCCCAGGGTGATTATCGAAATAGCAGGTGCTGCAGAGCCCCGGGGACACAGCGCTGGTGCCGCTGGATTGGGTGAGCCCTTCCTTCTGAGACACACCCCCCGGGCCGGAGGCGGGGGCAGAGGCTGGCAGAGCCTCCCTTATCTCAGGCTCCAGATTTGGGCGGGGCTTCTGCTGGTGATCGGGCAAGACTTGCGGCACTTCCTGTGTGCTAGGTGGGGAGGAGGGGACGAGGCAGGGGAGACCGGCACAGTGACAGTCCCCATGGCTGTTTTCTGTTACCCCTCACAGGCCAGGCTCCTAAGCACGGGTGTCCCTCGTTTGCAGAGGAGGAAAATGAGGCTGGCCAGTGAATCGGCTCCCAGGTGTGGCCCCCAAGCCCGAGTCGTGTCCCCCTGGGGGTTGCCCTGGAGTCTGGCTTGGAGAAAGTCTGAAAGGACAGTGGGGAGGCTGCGTGGGTTAGAGAAAGGGGGTGGGCTTGGGGCGGTGGCGGGGCCTGTCCCAGGCTGGGAGAAGCCATGAGGGGTGAGCAGGGCCAGCGGGAGCAGGAAGAAAAGGGAGGAGAGGCCCCAGGAGGGAGGAAGGGGCGGGCAAAGCCAGGACGACCGAATGCGGGCACATGGTGCCCATCGGGGAGTTGGTGCAATGGGGGTCTTGGGGCTGAGGCAGGGGGGAGGGGGAGGGGGCCGTGTTGCAGCCGTCCCGTGGTCCTCGGGTGGGTCATCTCAGGCCGATCTCAGCATGGGGGCCCAGGCCTGCCCCCTACCCCCGCCCCCTTGTGCATGCAGGACAGCACACCCAGCTGGAAAGTCGCCTCCTCTGAGGGGCCTTCCTGGACTGAGCACTTGCCAGGCACACCTGCCCATCTGCCTCCTCTCCCCCAATTCTCTGACCCTCCGCGGGCCCAGCAGCAGCCCCCACCCTGGGGCCTGGCGTAGAGGAGGGACTTGGAAAACCGGGAGGGGCCGGGCAGGGAGGCAGACGAGCTGCTGGAGCCAAACAATGAGCTAACTGAGCTCTAAAGGTGGTGGGGAGGGCCTGGGGGACCCCAGGAGAGAGACACGGCCCGGTGCCTCTTACGCTTCTTAATACACAGAGCATGAACAGGGTCCACCCAGAGTGCTGGGCCAAGGCCTGGGCAAGGGGGACAGTGACGGGTGGGAAGTTAGGCAATACCTCAGCCGGATGTGATGGGGCCCACCCATCATAAGTCACTGTCCTGCCTTGCCCTCCCAGCGAAGCCGGGGCCCCTGGCGACCAGCAGATAAGAACCGGGCCCCGTGGCGGCAGCTGCCCAGCAGGCCCGAGCAGGCCAGGTCCCAGCTCCCCAGGCTGGAAGGCGGAGGACCAGGGCTGGCGAGGCTCCGAACTGCCACTCGGTCCCGGGGGCCTGGGGAGCAGCAGCCGCAGGAGCCGGGGGTCCCCTGGGGCCGCCTGAGCTGGTCCAGGTGCCACTTGAGGAGGGGAAGGGCTGAGCCTGCCCAGCGCGCACCAGGGAGTCCGAGCGGCCCCCCTGCTCACCTGCAGCCTGAGCCCCGAATCTGCAGGAAGTGCCGGCCTCAGTGGAAAGCAGAGGAAACTGGGGCAGGTGGGGGGTGGAGGCGGGACCTCGGTGGAGGCCGGGGTTCCTGTCATGTGACCCCCCTGCCCTGGGCTCTTCACAGCTCTGCCAGGCGTGCAGGGAGCCAGTCTGAAGGGGTCCCCTCGGGTCACCTGTTCCCTTGTCTGCAGGTGAGCTGGGAGCAGAGTGGGGGTGGAAACTGAGTGAGGGGACAAAGAGAGAATGGAGGTCCAGTGGCTCCTGGGGCAGGAGCCAGGGTCCCAGTCGTGGGGGCAGGTGGGAGCACCCAGCAGACCCCCAGTTATGGGGGCAGAAGCACAAAATAGAAAACTGGAGGGAGTGGGCTGCAGGGTACCAGGTCCCGGAAACTTGGGTGCCAGACAGGGACAGCTTCCGAGCTCCTTGCCAGGAGAAGCTGCACCTGTGGAGGTGTGGGAACTTCCTGTGGCCAACGGGTTCCCCAGGATGCGCTGCACCAGCGGCAGGCAGAGCAGGCCTTGGCCCCCCTGTGCCCTGCCTCGGGCCCTGAGGGTCCCCTCTTTCCCTGCCCTCTCCGCCTTTGTCCCAGTTTGGCAGATGGGGAAACTGAGGCCCCTGGCCCCATGTGGCTTTGGGACGTGGACGGGGGGCTGAGGCCAGATCTCTTCCACCAGGACTCTTTCTCCTGGAGTCTGGGCACGCCACGCCCGAGACCCTGGAGACCTTGACTTAGGCCACAGGCGTCCCTCGTGCCTCCTGGGGACGGCCCGGCGAGATGCTGCGACCGGGTTCGGGGCAGGCGGGGCAGGCCCACGGGCAGCCGGCGCCCGAGCCCGGGGCCGAGGAGCTCTGGGAGCAGGAGATGGAGCGGCTGCGAGGCTCGCGGGCGCCCGTGCGGACGCTGCCCTACGCCATGGTGGACAGGCGCCTGGTCCGGTGGGTGCCGCCGGGTGGGCGCAGAGGGCCGGGTGGAAACCCCCTGTTGCGCTGCTCTGCGGGTCGGGACGCGCGCAGTGGGTGACTCAGGGCACCGGTCCCCACCCACCCCAGGCAGCTGCGGGAGCCCGAGGGGGCGAAGACCTCGAGCCGGCAGCGGTGGCGGCGAAGGCGCTCGACCGCGGGAAGGCGCCTGGGGGAGGCAGCGCGGAGGCTGGCGCGGGGCTTTGGACTCTGGGAGGGGGCCCTCTACGAGATCGGGGGTAAGACCTGCGCCCACCGCCGCCTCCCCGCTCTGGGGTCTCGGTGTCCAGTTTAGAAACGGGAGGAGGGCATCCCGCTGGCCACGGCCCTCCTCGGCCCCCACCAGCCAATCCCCAGAGCTGGGGCGAACCTCGGTGGACGGCGGCACCCCCCTGGTGGCTGTCAGAGGTACTGTTAGAGGGGCCTCCAGGACGGTACCGTTAAGCCGGGGGGCGGGGAGTGGGGGCCCGGGTCCCAGGACCCTGATAGGGATTCTCGCTGGGACCGAGCTCAGGGCCTCCCTGGTCCCCCTGCGCTTCCTCTCACAGGCCTTTTTGGCACCGGAATCCAGTCCTATTTCACGTTCCTTCGGTTCCTGCTGATGCTCAACCTCCTAACCCTGCTTCTGACCTCCAGCTTCGTGCTGCTGCCCCTGGTCTGGCTCCGCCCCCCGGATCCAAGCCCCGCCCTTAACTTCAGTGAGTGGCTGGCCCACGAGGGCACAGTGACCAGAACTGATCTGCGCCCTGGGCTGGCCCAAGGCTCAGAGTGTGGGCACGGCCCTGACCCTGTGTCCCAGCCCTGGGTGTCCTCCCACTCGGATCCAGCCCTTGGACTCCACTGGCCCGGCCTTTGTTCGGCAGCACCTCCTGACACAGCCTGAGTCCTGCTGGCGCCCCACCCCTCCCGGGGTTGGGGGTCTATGGAGTGGGGGGGCAGGGTCTCCCTAATGCCTTGAGGGCCCTTTCCTATGGGCCCTCTCTTCCTCCTTCACAGCCCTCCAGTGCCCTGGTGGCCCTGAGCCCCAGACCGGTGCTTTCCATTTCTACGATCAGCTCTGGAACATTTTAACTGGCAGAGTAAGTGGGCTCTGTCGTGGCGGATGGGCTGGGAACCCAGGGACCTGGCCTCAGGGGACCCCAGTCTAACAGACCTCCCACCTCTCCAAGGACGTTTTGGCTTTTAGGGAGACAGTCTTACACAGACAGGCTGGCTGGGCCAGCGACGGGGTCAGAGAGAGGCCACCGAACACAAGCCAGGCCTTGGGACACGTGTCCATAGCTCTCAGGGCCCAGCTGGTGTGAGAGGACAAAGAACAAGACAGGACAAATGTCCAGGCCTCTGAGATAAGCACCACCCCATCCTCGTCCCTGAAAGCCACTGAGTGGCTACGATTCAGGCTCCAGTGTTCTGGTCCACTCTCTCTTTCAAAACCGTGTGGCCTTGGGCAAGTTCCCTGGCCCCTCTGAGTCTCTGTGAAATGTAGGCGCTATTACTCCCTGCCCGACGGGCTGTTGTGAAAGTCAGTGAGTTAATCTGTGAAAAGCACAGCACACAGCCCAGTGGGCACTTCGGCTCAGCTGCCCACACCCGCATCCCCAGGCCTTCAACAACACCTACCTCTTCTACGGCGCCTACCGGGCAGGGCCTGAGAGCGGCTCCGCCTACAGCATCCGCCTGGCCTACCTGCTGAGCCCACTGGCCTCCCTGCTCCTCTGCTTCTGTGGGACACTGCAGCGGTGAGAGTGGGGCCCTGTGTCCACCTC